TATAGTTTGCTGCAATTAATTCTTCGAGAAAAAGTAGAAGGAAAACGAAGACCAAAAAGGTGAAGAATTTTTTGGCTGAAAAATCTACCTACGTGGTTCAATACAACAACCAACCACAAATCTTTTCAGAGTCGCAGTTTGCAAAATACAGATTGTTATGATGGTCACCAACATCCGAAATGGATAGACACTACAAGACGAAGAATGAAAACACTTTTATTTTTTATTACTACGGTTTAAAAATTTATTTACTGTAGAAGTTATTGAACAACCTGTAGATTTTCAACAATTGGATAATCACGTTCACAAATATCCAGTTTTTAAAATGCAATAAATGAAATGAAATGAAAGAGGTATAAAAACGTCCATTGTAATATTAGTCAATTCTTATCCCCGACGTAAGTTTGCCTCACATGTTTTGGTTTATTTCCTATAATACTAATAATGTCAATGTGCAAAGATCCAGCGAATCTACTATATATTATTAAAATAATACTTATAAGGTTATACCTAACTCTTCAATACAGTTTATATTATTAACATGACGCTTAACGCTAGTTTCAAACTTTTCATTCATTTTTTTAAGTAATAATTAGAAAGTAGACGCGAGTAAAGAACGCACTGTATAGAAATATTTCCTCGATGAAAATAGTCCTGAAAAAATAAGGCAAAATAGTTTTGATCCAGAATACCAGTTAGGATAGTTTTAAAATACTAAAAGAAAACAATCATACAAAAGTAATGATAAAGAAGAAGAAATTAGAACATATGTCGAAAAATACACATACCCTTGACGGCATTCAACACGTCGGGATTTTGGCCGATAAAAAAAACTCTTCGTCACTACTAAAAGTTTCTCCCTCGATCCCCGACAAACATTTCCGACATCAAACTGATAAGATGTTGCAGCAACCGCTTTCAGCTGCGTGAGACGTCACAGTCGAAAGCTCGCGGTTCACTAAGAGCAGCAAAGCAAAAGCAAAAGCAAGCGAGGGATAACCTGTAGCTCTCTCGTCTTTATTACAGAGCGGACGTCGAGACGACGACGCTACGCTACGGTACGCTAACGCAGCAGGGTCGCGGTCACCCGATTAATGTTTTACACTACGCATGCCATCCCATCCTGCAATTGGATGCTGGTGTGTGCGAGCGCTTTTAAATTGGTTACGGTGGAAAGTCAACTCTTTAATAAGTAAATGGTAATCTTTAATCAACCGTTTAACGATCGGATTATTTACCGGAACGGTTAATTAGAACTCGTATCTGAGCCCTGGATAAATTTTGAAACCTTTATTTTATAGACCAACTTAAAAAAATAATTTAATATGCATATACGCGTCGCCATCGTCCAGTCTTAGATAGAATAGGCATATGGTAATTCTAGAAGAGATGGCGTACAAAATTTAGAACTTCGTTAGAATCTTTATTTGAAAAGATACAAAATCGTGTAAACTATCAAGTTAAAGAGCATTCAGCTGACTACCTTTTAATAATAAAATAATACAGTGAAACTTGGAAAATTTGAATCTCCGGGGACCGTTAAAAAAATTCGAATTAACCAAAAATTCGAGTTAAAAACATATCTACAAAAAACAAAGATACCTACATAAATATCTGCAAACGATAAGAATGAGCAGTAGTTTTACCATTTTTATCGCTTGCAGATGTTTTCGTTCCTATTTTACTTGCCCGAATGTTGTCAATTGAAAAAATTAGCCAACAAAATTCGGCGAAGAATACCAATTGAAACATTTGCAAGCTATAAAAAATGGTCAATTATTATCGATTTTTATCATTTGCAGGTGTTCTCATTGGTATTTTCGGCCAAATCTTGGCCAATAAAAATCTTCCAGTGAGAACGCGTCAGTAAAACAATAAAACATTTTGTCTCAAAACATTTATTGTAAATAAGACCATTTGTTTCAATTAACGAAAAAAGACAGACTTTAATTTTTTCCTAAGAAGTCCGAAATTTTTAGCTGATTTTTAAAATTTAGCTTCTCGGTAATGACAAAAAAATCTAAGATATTCAGTGGACTTAAAATGGAATGACTTACGTCATTTTAACTGTCAAAGTACCGTCTAGGTTGTGTAATATGGATCGTTACTCGGAACATGTATTTTCTTCGCAACTGATGAAATGTCGTCTTCATCAGTCTCTTGTTTTTCATCATTGTTCTTAAGCATTTCAGCAATCATCTCTGCATCGGTTATCTCAACACATACTGCAACGTCTTCAACTACGTTCACAAAATCTTTATAAGATATAGCAGAATCAAAAATGGCGTCATCTCAGCCGTCAAGTGAAAGTAGTTCTTCTGTTAAAGTGTCGTTAGCGTTTTTTGCTTTCTCCTCCCGTTTTAATCAATATGTTTTAATCAAAAAGTCTGTGAAAATGTTTAAGATTTATTATGTTGCCCTGGTCCATAGGCTGGAGAACTAAAGTCATGTTGGCAGGAAAAGTTACTTATATAGGAAATGCTAGGGACCAGAATAAAAGTTAAAATTAAAGAAGATTTCGAATTAGAGAAGTTCGAATTAAGCAGGTTCCACTGTATTTATTAATAAAAAATAATATTTTAGGAGAATATTCAAGTCTACATATGAATTTTTAGTTTTACATATTTTTCTTCCACACACATCACACAAGTTTACGTATTTTGTACAACCCTCATACATCCAACGAGCACAATTGACGCACTGAATCCAATCTTCGCGCCTAGTGGTATTTTCATCATATTTGCCGCAGCTAACACATGTTGCTCCTTCTTCATTGCCGCTGGAATAATCCTCATAAATAATAGTCTACATGGTCTTCGTCAGAGAAAGAACCTTTATAATTCGTTTTGTTTTTAACGGGCGTGGTTTCTTAATTTTACATTTCTACACCGTCGTAGTTTTCTTCTTAATTACGATTAGTTTCAAATGTTTTTTTTTATTAATATTGGCGCTATCGGTTAATATAGCAGCAACTTACTTACTTCTCTTTCTGACAGAAGCAACACTAGTTAATGCAGGTGCAGGAGAAATGATATCTAGTAACTTTCCCGGGGTCTCTTCCTCTGAATCTTCCTTTTCGGTAATAACTGTTTCTGCAGGCGGAGGAGTAATATCTCTGAAACACTTTAGTTTGTTTATGTCAACTGAAGGATTGGGAATGTGCTTAGGAACTCTTTCGGATTTTGCTTGTGAATTTTTATTAGTACGTGTCGTACCCAAATAAGCGTATTCGAGAATTACGGATGGATCAAATGGGACAATACCAGTAGCTTTAAATGATGAAACAGTATTTTGAACTGTTGCTAATTTTCCCAAGCTGTGGCGAAGTGTCGACCAAATTAAAGTCTGCCTATTTTTCGTCCTGGATTTCCTCTTAAATATAAATTACACGACTGACAATAGAAACCTTTCAGGGATTTAAAAAATGCCCTATCAAGAGGCTGTAAAAACTGCGTAGTGTGGCTTGGAAGGCAAAACAGAATAACATCATTTTTGGAAGCGTATTAAAATGTTTCGACACTACTGCAATGGGACAAAAATAAATTGATTGAATCGAACTTACCTTAGTACAAAAGTGTATATAAAAAAAGTTACAGCCCTTTGAAATTTCAAAATGAAAATTGTTTTTTTTTGCATTGTCTCCTAAACTACTTGACATTTTGTAATAAAAATGAACACGTTACTTTCTTGTTCTGAAAGCATTTTTGATAAAAAGGAAACAAGAAAATCTAAGAGCACAGAAAAATTTTAAGGGGGAGTGCAGCCCTAAATCCTCCCAAACTTTTGAGTTTAAATCAAATGAATTTTGTGGCATTTAGTTTAACACATTATTTTTAAAAATTTTTTGCCTCTTATCACTTTTTTCAAAAAACAGTTTTTATTGAGTTACGGCCCTTTTTATTAACCTTTAAAAAATTACGTGCTACGAAATAAATGGGTTAAATGAATTAACAAGTACAAAAAATGTCTATAACCTCTATAAATATGACATTACAATAAATGTTTAAAATGACCCCAATTTTCTTTAATACCCATCCGTAACCTTTTAAAAGGAAAACCGAATGCGCTGAAAAATCATATGTATCTGACGAAATTGATTTGCAGCTTCAATTATTTTAACTCTCAATTGTTGTTTGTCCCCTATTGTTACAGAATACACTTTCTCTTTCATAAACCCCTAAAAAGCAAAAGTCCATGGGGTTAAGACCTGGACCTGGACCTGGTCACGACCCCTTCCAATCCACCGACCAGGATACTGCCTGCAAAGGTATTCCCGGACTTCACTATGTAATGCGGTGGAGCGCCATCTTGTAGAAACCTTATATTTTGCCTTATTGCAATGTTCACTTTTTCCAAATACTGGGCCTATTAGATTGTTATCCACAATTCCTGCCCAACATTAACTTTGAAAGTTCTTTGGTGATAAGTCTTTTTTTTTGGACTGAGGGTTTTCGTCGTTTGTATGAAAAATGCTTTCAGAACAAGAAAGTAACATGTCCATTTTTATTACAAAATGTCAAGTAGTTTTTTTATTTCAAAAATATGAGTTGATGTGATTTTTTATACAAGGGAAAGTGGAAGGAAAAATTTAAAGCAATCAAGTGGAAAAAGATGTTGACAGCGAAAAAAAAAATCAGATATTTATATATTCTAGACCTTGTTTCATATTCTAGTACTGTTCCTTGCTTTAATCGTCTTCGTAGGTGTCCGATTCCGAGTCTAAAGTGTTTTCCTTAGATTGGGGAGAATATAACCTAAGGACTCTCTTCCTTTATCCGAACTTTGGATGACAGTACGAACCACTCAACCCACCTAACGATTCATGCAGGCTGAGATAGATAGTTTTTCATACTCCATAAATATGGAATTGAATTGAAGGGATAGTATAGGTAAAGGTTAGTAAAACAGACAATAAAAACTTGACAATAATTTTATTATATTACAAAAAAAATATTTTTGGTATTAAAACCAGACTATCTTTTTTTATTTTTACATATCCAGTAAATAATCTGTAAGTAGATACAACTCAATATTCTTACTTATAAATATGAATACAAAAAAGTGTATGTATATACATTTGTTCAACCTATTAGTACATAAACAAATCAAAATAAGAAAACAAAACTTTTGATCAGACTAATTATACAATATATTGATACATAAAGTACTGATGGTTAAAAATATTTACAATCAGTTATGTTGCAAATAAATACTATAGATCGATCGAAAAAAAAACCTAATTAAAGTAGGCTGTCCAATAAACTTAGATTTTAGCCACATAGCCACAAATAATACATACTTAAACTGACTTATTGTTATACCAAAACCCCATATAGCAAGGAAACTGGTATAGGCGAAAGGGGAAGAATGTTCCACAATGAACGCCGCTGCTTGATTAGGCGCAGAATAGTTGCGTCTAATGCCTATAAAATGTGTTCCAGATTGTATAGTATAAGCCGTCAGTATTGTTTTTCAAATTCAAAAAGTAATATATAAAGCGATGATAAATTAAACTATTTTACACCATAACTATTTACAAAAATGTTCGTGAATGGGATAATTATAAAGAGAATAATATACAGGGTTACGCAATTGAACTGTTACCAACTTCACATCGATATACCTGACAAATCGATAATGACAGCTACGTCAAAGTTGACCTGATAACACTTTAGTATATTGTTTATAAGCCGTCAAAAATTTGCATTTAAGTTTTATGCATACAACAAAAGCACAGAATAATATACAATCAGAATGCCCACTCTCCATGGAAAATTAAGTACGCGCACCTCGTTCGCGCAGACGTTCCGCCGTGTTTTAAAGGGAACCAGTGTTGTTTATGTGGTGTGCATAGAAAAATTAACCCGGTTTAATTGACTTACGGCAATCATAGACATACTATACAATTATATTAACAAGGTAAATATAATATAATTAAACATAACTATAAACAATTACATAACGTCACAAGTCATATGTTGTGTGCCGAAAAATTTCAAAGGCTGCATCTGAGAGTGGGCATTCTGATTGTTTATTATTCTGTGACAAAAGTTTCGCAATGGAATTTAAACGTAATAGTGTGATTGCGTTATATTTGGCTGGAAAATCACAATAAGCTGCCCTAAACAAAATTGTTATTGCCAATATCACATTGCCAACATTCAACAGTCGGACACTTCCAACAAGAAATTTTTGTAAGTCAGTTTAAAGATGGTGGCGTATTAAGCACCAAAAAAACATGGAATTCTCTCTAAAAGTCTGTCTTCGTTCACATTATATGTTTTTATTTGTTGAGGCCTCATCAAATAATCAAAAACACACTGGAAAATAGAAAGGCAGAATTCGTAAACAAATTTTTAACTTAACAGAGTGGTATTGCTGTGTAGCGCCACCTATAGATGTAGATACCACTGTATGTCTGTAAACTACATATGTTACTACTAAGCGTGACTAAGTAATTTGTGGTTTCTATGTAATTAAGAGACATACAGTGGTCTCTATTGCCTGTCATCCAAAGTAGATAATTCTGCATAGCGATACTACACTGTTAGATACGAAATTGTCTTACAAATTTTGTCTCTGGCCTTTTTCTTATTTTTTTTTAAATCTAACATTATCTGAGGAGCTACAATAAGGACGAAACAAGTCGTAATGTAAACGAAAAGACAGGCATTGATACCTTCCAGTACATAATACGCCACTCTATATGTACGATGTACCTATGTATCCTTTATCTTTTATTATGAATTATATTATTATTAAAATAATCTCATTTCTTTTCTTGAAAAAATACTGATTTTAAAAGATATTACGTATTCTATGAAATCATTAAAAAATTATTTATTCCTATTTAGAAACGGACTAAAGAGATCAAATCTCTTAGGAGGTTGTTATCACAAAGCCAGATTATGGGACATCAAAATCGTCGGTGATACAGAGAGTAGTACGTTAAATCCGCCATGCAGAACGCAGACTTTCTTAACGTTGCAAGTAAGCAGGAAAGTGGGAAACTGAAAAAAAATATATCTATGACTATTTAGGTACAAATGTGCATTCAAAATTGTAAATAAACTTGAAACCGCCAAACATAGTAAACTATTAGAAATTATCGTATTTGTATAGTTTTAAATTTTAACTGATTAAAATTTAGTACTGTTTAGGTGCTTAGATTCAGATTATAACTAAAGTCTGCATTACAAGCGTTTTGATTTTTTTGGTTATTCCAGAATCATTCTGGTCCATTTATCATCCGTTAATCTGGCAACATGTCCGGCCCAAGCCCATTTAGCTATGGATATTTTTTCAACTGCATCTGTGACTACTGTTCTTCTTCTTATTTCTAGGTTTGGTACTTTATCTCTGATGGTAATACCTAATATTGATCTTTCCATAGCTCGTTGTGTAACTCTTATTTTATCTATTGTTCTTTTAGTCAGAGTCAGTGTTCCTGCACCATATGTAAGAACCGGTAAAACGCACCGGTTAAAATCCTTTCTTCTTAAACAAACTGGGATAATAGACTTGAAAATGTTATTCAATCTAAAAAAGGCAGCCCATGTGAGACCTATCCTTCTTCGTATTTCAGTTGTCTGATTATCTCGGTTGGTCATAAATTTTGTCTTTACCTGTACATAATGTACTGGGTTTAATGAAACAATTCGTGAAACCGTTGAATCAGGATAAACCATGTTTCTAGTCTTTGGGTAAGAAGTTCCTAAGATAACTTCTGAGAAATAAAAGATGGAATTTTTATGCCTCAAATTCGCCAAGAAATGATCGACACTGACTTGCATGCATGAATATTGGATACTAAGGAAAAATTAATGGAGGAGCTCCAAATCAGTTGATGAGGGGTTTCTTGGAAACCCAAAAAATTCCAATTACAAAGAAGAAGCAAATAACTGCTTAGAAGTTTCCAAAACCTAGGTTGTCTTATGAGTGTAAAACTGCATCTTCTTCACGCGCAGGGGTTCCATAAAGATATTAAATTAATGGAGCAACGTTATTAAAATACGGGGAATACTACTATGATGGCTGACTACATCTGGAAACTCAAGAGAGACTATAATCCAGAGGAATCTGCAGCTTGAATCTCAAGAAATAGGAAGTTTCTTTTATAGAGGACTTAATGGCAAGTCTTAAGCATAGCCACTATAGTGCACCTGTCTTTTGTACGACAATTTGTGAAAAATCTGTACGTGATAGGAAGAATACGATAGCAGATTGAGAATAAACACCTCAAACGAGTTCTAAAATACCTTTCACTTCTTAGTCATCAATTTATTTTTTTTTTTTTTTAATTGCAGCACTGTTTTTAGATTATCTACGTTGGGAATTCCAGCGAAGAATAAAAGAGGGAAATTCCACCAGAATTGATCAGAACTCTAACAGTACCTTAATGAGCTTGTTTATTTTACCTTCGGTTAAGTCTGTATTGCTGCAAAAAGGCCTAAAAATTAACTTCAACAAAACAAAAGTAATGACAAACACGGAAGACCAAGAGGCAATAAAAATAAAAACAGAAAAAATAGAACAGGTAAATGAGTATATCTATCTAGGACAAGCAATCAGAGCTAACAGAGAAAATCAAACAGCCGAAATATCGAGACGAGTAAGAATGGGATGGGCAGCGTTCGGCAAACTTTCTTACGTTTTAAAAAATCAAACAATCCCTCTATACTTACGAAGCAAGGTATATAACTCCTGCATAATACCGGTGATCACCTACGGAGCACACACATGGACATTTACATAGGCAAATTTGGATAGGATAAGGAAGGCACAAAGAGCGATGGAGAGACAAATGTTGGGTGTATCACTTAGAGATAGAAAACGTAACCAGTGGATCAGAATCAGAACAAAGACAGTAGACGCGATAGAACAAGCAGCAAAACTGAAATGGAAATGGGCTGGACACAATGAACGTCTATAAGACGGACGATGGAACAATGCCATCGGAAAGTGGCGTCCATACAATGCAAAGAGATCAAGAGGCAGACCACAGATGAGGTGGAAAGATGACATCAGGAAACAAGGAGGTCCTACATGGCAGAGAACAGCTCAAGATAGGGAAAGATGGAGAGAACTGGAGGAGACCTATATCCAACAATGGAAGGATAGAGAATAGGTTAAAAAAAAAAAAGTCTGTATTTGTCTTAAAAAGTAAGACAAATGTATTAGTGTTATCCACAATGAATGCAGATACCACACCAAGTATGGCATATATGTATTTGATCAAATGTGTGCAAGTTAGAACGTAACGCGAAACAACAGATGGCCACTAACATTTTTTTTTTCAATATAGCTGAAATATTTCAGAAAATACGTGAAGCAAAAAAAAATATAGACAAAATCTCCTTAATTTTAAATACCTTTTTCTTCTTCTTTACTCCAGGGTTTCGACATTTGTTGCAGTTTTGGCATTGAATTTCGCTCCAATTTTTCATGGATCATCCTATCACTCCTCTTAGATTAGTTTTTAAACTTATCTCAGTTAAATTTTTATTAATAATTTTATATTTCAGATGAAGTATATGTTTATATATTAAATAAATTACTTACGTAAACCGCGTACTTACAATTCACTACTTAGTTGGCATTTTTAATTCTTCGTTCTATCAAACACTAAAAAATACATTAGAGGCCAATAGTTGCACCACGTAATCCCTTGTTCAGTAAGTTTGGCGATAACTAGTCTAACAGATATTAAATAAAAATTGATATACGTAGTTACTTACCAGTTCCAAGTCAGTTTCTTCATCTCCAATTATTACGACTATTTTATCCTTTGAATTCTCTAGAAGGGAGCTGTGATGTCCTATATTTTCTATTTTGTTCTCTTTAAACGATACACTAGAAAATGGAATATTGATGCTGTTGATCACACAACAACGATTGAATCTAAAATATTAATTCATATAAGAACACAATATAATTACTGTAGAATATGATTAGTTCTAAATATTCAGATACGAATTAGTGTGGTAGATTTTTCGACTTGAGCTGAAATATTTGGAATATATCATAAGTCGACTTAAAAAATATGGAATATTACACCTACTAACGATCTTGGGACAACGCAGTCCTAAGAAAAAACGAAATCCAGGAAAAAGTTCTTTTATATGGCAATTTATATGGCAATCAATATTTTTATACAAAAAAAAATGTTCGAAAATGTGCCATTTTTTCCATTCTAGACGGTAATAGTTCCTTAAGAGAAAGAAGATCTAACAGAGAGAGAGAAACAAAGAGAGCGAGAGGACTAAAAAACAGATATAGAAAAGATTGCACAAGCGAAATAAATAAAATGGGCTGGTCATATAGCACATTTAATATAAAAACAGGTGAACCAAATGACTCATAAAAGGGAGACCTAGAGAAAACCAAAGCACCGATTAGACCACGAACAAGATGGATGGACAACTTAGGAAAAACAGCAGGAAATTTGTTTCATAAAGCATAGAATAGAAAACGGTGGAAGAAGATGGAAGAGACCAATGTCCAATGGTCAAAGAATATTTCATAATTTTACTAACTTTCACAGAGAAAAAAAAAGTAACTACCTAACTAAAAGTGTTGATCCCAAAATACGTACATATAAATATACTTACTCGACGAGATTACGTATGTCTATTATTATTAACTTGTCAGGCTTGCTTCGAACTAAGTCTATTACATCCTTGGCGCTGATCCGAGGATACCTTTCTTTCTTCAAATCTTGCAGTGTGACTCCCGAAATATCCTAAAATTTAAAAAATGTTACCATCTTGAGGTTGAATAGCAATGTAACATCCAAAATGGATCAGCGATGGAATCGAGTCGGTTGATGGATGAATCAATAGTAGAGTAAGAAATAATATTTTAGGTTTGGAGTGTCTTTATTATAAAAGCTTAAACAAGTTAAAATTATTATACTTTGTTTTATTCTAAATGAATGCAAAATACTTACAAATTCATCTCTGATTCTGAAAGATTCATTATCGTGTTCCCTATCGGTTATACTGCCAGGAGTACTTTTAAAAGTATCGGTCGACAACATTACACACTTTTCTATATCCACTTCGGGTAAATCGGAAAACAGCAGAATGCATTCGTTGAAGCCAGAATTTAGCAATCTATCCCTGAGTTGAGTCAATACTGAAAGACCTATGTGGAGAGAATACGAAGAGTTTCCGAGAAGAACCTTATCCCACAAGTGAAGGATTTTGTAAAGCGGAAACACATCTAAAAAAATTATTTACTTGATTTTAAACATAAATATAACTCAACCTAAGCTAAGATAATTTTATGTAGTAATTGGTAGCTTTTTCTATAGTAATTTCGGCAAGTTTTCTATATGTGTGCTCGTAATTAATGATGCTACTTTGTAACTCCTGGAACTGTACAATTGTTTTACAAGCGTAGGCTGACAGTTATAAAAACGTCAATGCTCAACACTATGAAAGAAAAATGAACTACTTTGGTCACATACTAAGAAATGAAAAATATGAGTTAATACGATGGGTTTATACAAGAACAGGTGGAAGGAAAAGGATGACCGGAGAGACCACGTACGTCCTGCTTCTTCTTCTTCATGTACCATGTCTTTCCGGGCGTTGGTTATCATCATAGCTATTTTAAATTTATTCACTGCCACCCTAAATAGCATGCCTGTATCAATACCATACCAATCTCGCAAGTTCTTCAACCTCCAAGTCTTTCTTCGTCCTGGACTGCGTTTGCCTACTATTTGCTCTTGTATAATATTTTGTAGCGACCTATATTTGGGACTTCTCATTACATGTTTGACGTCCAGGTTGAAAAATTTAAAGCAGTGGAGTGGAAAAACAACAATAGAACACTTCAGAACTATTACAGAGAGAGTAAAATGATCGCCAATGCCCTTAACGTGTGAGGCATACTAATCAGAAGAAAGATAACTACTGACTTAGCTACTGGTGTTAGGCTTATAAAAGCCTACCCTTAGGCTAGCTAAGGGTAGGCTTTTATAATGCGTTTTTGTTCCAATGTATATTGAACCACGATTGCACGAAAGAACCTTAAGATGCTACGTGTTCTCGACTCTTTTGTATGGAATGGAAAGCTGGACACTACAAGTGGATAATATAAAGAAGTTGGAATCATTTGAGATGTGGTGCTTTAGAAGGATTTTAAAAATACCATGGACCCAACGATGATAGCTGTGATGATAGCCAACCTCCGATAGGAAAAGGAACTACAAGAAGAACAAGCTTTCTGTACAGTCTGTCAGTTTGAAGAAGTACTTATTGTCACATTTCACTAATAATTATCCAATTAGATCACTCAAATATTTTATTAACAGCAAAAAACTTCATGCTCTGGTTGCTATTGTTCACTGATATTGTTGTAGCATTTTTTTACTATGTATATCATGAAAATTTGCTGAAAGGTTTAGAAAATTTAGCAAAAGAAGCACTGCAAGAATTATTGCGTCTCAAAATCTTAGGCGAGAATAAATATAATCCAATTGTTTATTTACAACGGCAAATGCCGCTAGCAGAATCTAAGTGTTTGTTTTGGGATATATCTCTGCGATGTGTCTCTGGCAGATGCGTCTAGAAAGTGGTTTCTAGACATGAGAGAGAGAGGGTCGAAGGTTAAGACAGCTCGCATCGTCCCACGAGAAATAAGGGACTTCCAAATAGAAAGATTTCGGTCGTCTGGGGGGCGAACAACTTCGTTCGCCCACCAGAAATAGGAGTTGAATTAGAAGTTTTTGTGCTTTTATTCTTGAGAAATCTATTATGCTTTCCTTAATTACTGGATCACATCTCGTTGTCAAGATGATAAAACATGTCCAGCGGCCTGCATGTAAGAGCAAAACCGAAACAATGTTCGTCAATTTATCCAATTATCCTCAGGTAAGCAGTTTATCCGGTTATTCATCATTAAGGCTGTTTTCGCAGCTAAAGCATATTGCGATTTGAAGTGGGCGTATCACTTACTTTTCTACACTGCTTACGTCAGACCCTACGTGACTTCCTAACGTGAAATCTGTAGTGAAGCGACAATGATGAGGAACACGTTTCACTATTAGATTTCAGTATTTTTTAGCAATTTTCTTCAAAGTTTGAATACGCTTTTCTCGATTATTACTGGACACAGAAAGGTGAAAAAAAAATCAACGATTACAGAAAAAAAAACTCTTTCAACTGATGGGCGTAAAAAGTTTGGTTATAATAGAACGTTAAACAGTATAATCCAATTTTTCAACAGAAAATTCAAAAAAAATAAAAAAAGTAAAACCATCAGTTTAAAGGCAACATAATTTTCGTATAACATGTCCAAATTTCGAGACATTTCGTCGGTAAATAACAGAGAAAAAATTTTGGTGCACCGATAAAACAGCCTTAACTGGACCCGTAGCGATCACAATCAAAGCGTATAGTTTGATCTTTCTTAGTTTTATACTTAATAAAACCAACATTTATATTTTGGTAATAAATATTATTAAATAAACAAATTTTATTAATACTTACGTGAAAACAGAGTGAGAAACCAAGGGATCGCAAATAACTGTGGATAAAAGTTGATCTCGTACAAATGGTTCGCCAAAACGGGATCATGGAATGCAATCAATTGGGAAAACTTTGCTAAATATTCTTCTATCACAGCGGAATTGTCTTTGAGAAAAAACTTGTGTAGATATTTTGGAACGAACAGTGATAAGCAAGAAAATGCTTTTGCTAAAACAATGATAAATTCACTTTATTTATATGACAGAATTATTACTGAATATATTAATAAGTCTAAGTGTATTACGTAAATGCTAAGAATGTCAAGATATTATATAGAAATGCACATTAAATAAAAATTTAATTTCGTAAGTATTCTACATGATCAATTCAGTTTGGTTTATATATTAATTTGGTCCTTCAAGCCGGATAAATTATCCATTTATTTTTGAATATTTCAAATAAAAGTGTGAATCAGATGTGGCATTCTATTATTTACACCTAAACATAAATTTAATTATAACATCACTAGATAGATCAACCGTCGGTCTAATCAATTATCAAGTTTTAACACAGAAGTGCATTAACGTACAAAACTTGACATCTATTTTTTAAGTTATCTCTTTTTTACTTAAAAATATATTTTTGTAGAAATTATTTCATAATGCAGCATAATTTGATTCAAGATAAATATTTAATATAACTGATATTATCAATACTTGAGTCAATAAATAAACGTTTACATACCTTCATCATTAAAATTGAGATACAGAAATGGAGCTGTAAGCGAATCCAACCCTTGCCAGTAAACATACTGGGAGTTTTTAGACACCCACGCCTTCAAAATACGCTTGAGCTTGTTGTGGCCTTCAGAAGATGACAGGAGTTCATTGTATTGGTGACATCTGGGTATGTCCACTTCTATCTAAAATTAACCAAACATTTTAATATTAATGTTTTCATATTCTATCTAAGTTCCGGTTTTTTAAGCATAAACGCTCGTCCGGTATGCATCTATGGAGTGTGTAACACCGACCCGCAAGTCCCTATCTCTTACCGCACTGCTCATCGAAAGGTAGATCCTATACATCAGCTTATTCTCGTCTAAGTAGCAGGTTCAATTAGATTTTAAACCACGATATTACCATTTTTGTTTTCTGACTATAGATCCACCAGATTTAAGTGAACTTAATGCGATTCGTCCGCTTGGGCCACTTGACTATCTGAGCGACATACTTTCATATTTGATACGAAGTTTCTCTTTTTAATTTTGCATATAGCAGCTTAGAGGGTGCCACCTTCTGACACAAATGTAACCTCAATCTTTTTGTTGGCATAAATCGAGAGTTTCATGGAGATACAATAACTAGTGTGGATACAGTGAATTTTGAAATTAGCAAGTCAGTCGAAAAGTGGATTTTAGCCGAGAATATTTTGAAGAAATAATTTTTTACATTTTTTTTTTTTTTTCATTTGTCTATTTTCTACATTCCAAAACAGATAACGCCACATATCGTATCCACTTCAAAAAGGAATATTTTTACGGTTGATAGATACTGTAGAGATACACAAATTATAATAATGATCTTGTTAAATGGCCCTTTTAAAATCAGAAAACTTTGTGTTAATATTTGGAACCGATTGGATAATGTAAACAAATCTATTTGTATCAAAAAGAAGCTTACCAACCTGTCGATCTGTCGGTGTCAATGTATATTTATCTAGTTTCATATACTGACACTTATAATCACTTTTTATTCCTAATAGAGCCGCCCAAACCTCTCCTCTTAACAAAGGAGGAATGTCCTTAGAGGCTTCTCTACAGATAAGTTCTTTCGTAAACGGATAACCCTAAAAGAAAATGATTAGATTATTTCTATCGTTTCAAGAAGGATTAAACTTACATGTAATAGCCTTCTAAACAATATTATTCTGTGGAACTGATATTCGGGATCTCTCTCCTTGATTATGAGAGGTAATCCAGTCGCATCATAAGGAGGCGGTTCTGATTGGGATATCACATCGCACTTGATCTGGATTAATGGATAGAAAGCAGAAAAGGGAATGTTCTCGAATCTTTGATATAATGTATCTAAAGGCATTTCTACTACTCTTGGATCGTATAGTGTGGCTGGGTTGCGATCCTGTCCTAAGATATTACCTTCTATTAGAAGCAAACTGAAATGGAATATAAATCTTGAAAAATATGTATCAATAATTGATAAGAATCAATGTAACTTTGTCAGTTTATGGGTTAAAGAATGAAAATGGGTCTCAGAAAAACAGGTGTAACCAAAAAATGGGCAAAGTAATTTTAATCTCAAATATATTTATAAAAATACCTACTGTGGTAATGATAATATAGGAGGACTTGACCTTATAAGTCCTTGTTTCTTTAATTCCTGCAGCACATCCCCGCCAGCTAACTGCCACCAATGATACAGCTCGTGTATAGTAAAAATCTCAAAGTTCTTGGAAAAAATCTCCTTAACATATCCATTTTGTAAGTTAAACTTATTAAAAACCTTTTTCTGGAGCAGCTCGTCACAAGTAGGTCTTATGGAGGGGTCTATTTGAAGGCAACATTCTATAAGTTCCTTTATATCATCAGGCAAGCTCTAAAAATAATATCTATGAAAATGTGTTCCCAATTAAATGTGGAAATAAATTAAGTATGAACAAAATATAAAGGTTTTTCATAAACAAATAATATAAATGTAATTATGAATGCCTATCCAGTGTTGTACCAAATTAAGAATTTTGGAAAAGTCATAATAAGTTGACTCCTGCTAATGATAGATTCGTGTGTAGCACTATAAAACCAGTTGTGTGCCAACCAAAGCCAAAAATTGCTGATCAGTTTCATTATTATGCCATATTTTTAAAGATTTAGATCTGGAAAATCTTGTTGCAGCCATATCTTGAATATTGTACAGAGAGTGACATTCCCTGTACAATATACTTACATTGTATACTGTACAATTATAGTACAAACTATATAAAATTGAAATAAAAAGTACTTAATGCTTACTATATATTGATCATATGCATTATGTTCCCTAGCTATTCTCTCAAAAACAGATGTATTTGACTGTAGAAGACTCAAAATTTTCCTAATTCTTTGTCCCACTTTCAATGTACTCCACAGAGACTTGTTAAGCACCAACTCTACCAATATTATTCCTAAAGCCCAAATATCTACTTTTGGATTTGGAAGACTGTATTGAATTCCATCAAGGTATATCTCAGGAGCAGCATACAGCAATTGTCTGAAAAGGCAAGTAGTTAAAAAACTAAATAATTATCTAAAAGGACCACAAAATACTCACATTACAGGAAAAGACACCAATTTGCCATTATATGTTAAATAGTAAAGTCCATAGTTAAACATTTTTATATTATTTCCTTGTAGCAGCACATTCTCACTACTTAAATTACGATGCACTATATTCCTCTTATGAAGTTCTTTTAATCCTTGAAGAATTTGGTATGCTATAAAAACTACATCATCTAATGAAAATTGTTTCTTCTCTAAATAATCTACTAAAGGTGTTCCACAGTACTGGCATACTACCACAGTTCTTTCTGAAATAAGAAATGTCAAATCAAATAATTTAACATGATTAACAATTTAAATAATCCTTTGTTGGATCTTATCTAGATTACCTATTCCACAATTTATATCCCATAATTTTTTAGTATTACCGAAATTTTTGTTTATTTTTATCATATTTTATATTTACATCAAGCATGGCCTTGAATATAAACTTTTCATAGTCCTTATATTCCTTTTTTTCTACATTTTGTGAATCAGCTTTCTATGCTATTAGTTTCTATAATTATTGATGCATTTACCCAGTAAGTAATCATTTGTTTAAAAATGGTGGATAGGTAGAGATCATTAAAGAGCAAGTTTAATAGCAATTGATTTTATAGATTGTAATCTAGCAAAAATATTGTGAAATCAAGCTCTCATTGGGATTAGAATAAAATGATCAAGTTAACATTTGGAAACTTGAAAGGTAACTATTTTGACAACCCAGTTGACAGAGCAAGTGCTATTGAGATTGTTAATGAAGATATTAAATCGTTGATTGCTGGGCAAAAAATCATACATTAAATATAAACTCAAAAAAAAACTATTCTGGTGGTTTTGGTCCAAACAGGGTGTGTTTGGAGATGGGTAACAGCATTGAAATAGTTGTTGATAATGATATCATTAAACCTGTAACTAGTGCAAAAAAATCTAGGTTTAACTTTAGATAATCACCTCAACAGAAACTTTACCAAAAGATTGGTACACATCCATATTTATACCACTGCCAAAAAAAGCAAATACTAAGAAATGTGAAGAACCTAGAATCATTAGCCTCATGAACCACTCACTCAAAATATTCTTAAATATCATCCATGCTCCCATATACAAGAAATTGGAGGAGGGTATTGCTGATGTACAATTTGGATTTAGCAGCAGTCTTGGCAAAAGAGAAGCATTTTTTAGCATGCAAGTATTGATACAACGAGCAAGAGATGTTAATACAGATGTCTTTGCCTGTATCATTGACTTCGAAAGAGCATTTGACAAAGTACAGCATGAGAGGCTTATTGAAACTTTGTGAATCACAAACATTGATGACAAGGATATAGGAATAATAGCCAATCTCTATAGGAAACAAGTAGCCAAGATTTGAGAAGACAATCAATTATCCGATGAAGTCCCAATACAAAGAGGAGTACAACAAGGTTGAATACTCTCGCCTTTGCTGTTTAATGCATACTCTGAACATCTATTTCGAGAAGCTTTGGGGAGAAACGACTGGTGGCATGATTGTTAACAGTGAAGTAATAAACAAGCGGATAGTGCTGAAGGATTACAAAGACTGATAGATCAAGTAGTTATCATCAGTAGAAAATATGGAATGAAACTTAATAATAAGAAGACGAAAATTATGATCATAAGCAAAAACCAAGATACAGTTGCAAAGTTTATGGCAGACAACTAGGTATTGGATAGAACAGAAAAAATAACATACCTAGGATGCAACATCACATACAGCTGGGATCACTCATATGAGATTAAATGTAGGATCAAAAAAGCAAGGAGTGCCTTCCAACAGATGAAGAAAGTTCTCTGCAATTTAACCTTGAACTTACATCTCCGACTCAAAATCCTTAATTGCTATGTGTTTTCTGTTCTTATGTATGGAGCAGAGGCATGAACACTCACTGATGCGTCTTGCAGACAGTTGCAGTCTTGAGATGTGGTGCTATCGTTGCATGCTCAGATTTCATATGTACATCATATAACTAATGACGCAGTAATGCAACGTTTACAAAAGGAACATGAAGTTATGAAATCCATTAAAGAAAGTTAGCATACTTCGGACATATAGTGAGAAATGAAAATAAATACAGAATCCTACTATTGATATTAGAAGGGAAAATAGAAGGAAATAGACGACCAGGATGCCGCTGAATATCCTGGCTTAAGAATATGAAACAGTGGGCAGGTATGACCACCACAGACCTGTTTCGAACATCTGCTAATAAAATATGATGGACCATTGTGGTAGCCAACATCCATAGAGGATAGGCACTAGCAGAAGAAGATCAAATCTATAACTGTCTGTAATAATTGTGAGATGCGTAGGAGTAAATTCTTGCAAATAATTTATTGAAAATAAGATACAAAAAAAAAACAAAATACTTACCGTGTTTACCACGAATTATATCCAGATATTGACATAAATATGGGCTATTAATTGATTTCAGTATTTGAGCTCTTCCATATATAATAATAGAATTCGGCGTTAATGGCAAACCATTACTCCCACACATGTCCTCCTTGTGTTGTCTCGCAAAGAAAGTAATTGCACCGAAGTGCATTTCTGGATTTTTAAGTAGAGATACAGTCATGATGAATTGGAGGTTGATATCTCTGTATCAAATTTCAAAGATATATATCATTTATTCACTTGATGTACTTGTTTATTTTGCATATTCCTAAGAAAACTACAGTAATGTTTAATCCAAACAATCAATTTGTTGTTATATTTTAATAATCATTTCTTTTTTAATTTAAACTTTTTGCCGACGTTCACGTTCATTTGGTTATCCGCCTCTTGCAATCTCTTGACATTTAAAGGTAAACAAGACTAAAATCAAGACTGCTTGACGTCACCAGTGTGACAAGAATGTGACAGTGACAAATTAAATCAAAATATTGACAAGATAGTGACAAGATAGTGACAATTACACATGTGAAACTGAGTGATGAGCTTCACAGGTTAAAATAAGATAGAATAGTGATAGGAGTGTAAAATCACACCATTGGTTGGGAAACGAAAACTCGCGAAATTGAAATTTAATTTTTTTAGGTTATATTATCTGTTATGAATTCAAAATGTTTAAGTAATTCCGCTAAAGGGTGTATTTATAAACCAAAATGGTTTTAAAGAAAGCTAGCAAATATTTTACAAAACTTAGTGTAGCAAAAAGAAGATTTTCCCAAGTATCTAATAAACAGTAAGCATTATCCAAGACCTTAGTCTTAGAATGTAATAAGTCACAAGCAAAGATACTGTATCTAGGGTCTGTATTACTTGGTTCAAGCCATTCTCAATATTTAATATAAACAGGTCTAGGGATGTGTTATAGAAATGCAGAAAAATCTTTTAAACTGCATAAACCTAACAATTTTATGGATATACTTTTCAAAGTAGAAGAAAAGGAAAATTCGCTAGTAGTAAGATTGTTTGGCTGAATTTTAAATAGATCATCAACTGTGGCAATGGTGTGTGGAATTTTTGAAAAATAGCAAGAGAGAATTAACCAAATTAAATTACCTACAACTAAGAACCTAAAATGAGGAGGAACACTTTTCAGTTGTAAAGACTGGCTTTGCAACTCAGGATTACATCTCATTTGAGTCAACATATAAATCAAAATGTGATGAATATATTTTTAAGTCGTTGTTGAGTGCCAATCAAGACATTTCACATTTGGATAATCAACAACTAATACTCATTTAAAGGCACATCATGTGCGATTGATTCTGCTTCAGTTTTAGAATGTTAATTTCTGTGAGTGTGAGCTTTGTACCGTTCTTAATATATGTCATCATGTGATATCCTACATCAGTAGAAAGTTCTTGCCAATAAACCAGCCAATACTGTCAACAACAAGATTGTCTCAGTTAGGAATAGTTAGGCTGTTAATGTACCTTTATTCTATTTGCTGTATTTTTCCTTATACTAGTCATATTTCTTCTAATTATATTAGGATTCCCACTCATGTGTTCTTATTGTACTCCTATTATTACTTTTCAACTTCTTCTCTTGGATCTGCAAACAATATGAACAATCCTTCTTTATAGTGCATACGCTTACCTGTTTGATTTCAACGATTCAATTCAAAGATATCAATAGTACAAAGTATAATATGATTTAGATATTTAAAATGAACATACTCATAAGATATCCCTAGACTTTGTTTTTCTTTATTTTATTTTTAATATTCTGTGTTTTACATCACTTTTACTTTTTTTTAGAAAATGGAAGAGTGTAGTAGGTTTGGAAGTACATGCCCAAATTAATTCAGCTAGTAAACTATTCTCTGGAGCTTCTACAAAATTTTCGTCGCCTGTAAATTCAAATGTATCTCTATTTGATTGTTCCACACCAGGAACTTTGCCAGTCTTAAACAAGAGATGTGTGGAGGCTGGAGTACTTACAGCATTAAGTTTAAATTGTAAAGTCAATCCGATTTCATATTTTGATAGGAAGCATTATTTTTATGCTGATTTACCTGTAAGATGCACATATAAATAAATGTATGTCAAAATACTAATAGTATATTTGCAGACTGGTTATCAAATAACTCAACAGAGAGCACCTCTAGCAGTAGGAGGTCATTTAGAATTTCAAGTATTTACTCCAGGTGTTCATAAAGTTCCATATACTACCAATGTTAAAATAAAACAATTACAATTAGAACAAGACAGTGGTAAGAGTCTTCATGATGAACAAAGAAGTTTTGTTGATTTGAATAGAGCTGGTGTACCTCTTATGGAACTCGTATTTGATCCAGATCTTAAAGATGGGGAAGAGGCTGCTGCTTTGGTCAAAGAACTGATTTCAATTTTACAGAGAATACAGACATGCTCCTGTAAAATGGAAGGTAGGCATATCCTATTTTTTTCCTAAAGATTAAATGAGTTTTATGCATTTCCAATATCTCAATATTATACTTCTCTATACATATATTAGAAAATTGTAAGAATGAAGGAAAAAAATATAATCAATATCTTTGGATTAAATTGAGATAAATGGGAGTAGGAATAGTAAACTTTTTGCATATTTTTTGGGATCCCAAAATTAACATTCTCAGTATTCCGTGAAATATAATAAAAATTAATTTCAAAATTACCGAAACAGAAACCAAATCTATTATAGAACGCCTTTATAATGGAATTGAATTCATTTGCGGATATGTTTTGGTCAAGTTCGATTATCTTTTGTCCCAGTTCAATTATCTTTTGTCCCAATTGCTCCAGGTTGCCGGCTCTCTTCAAGAGTAATAATTGGATCGAAAACAATTGGTTTTATCATTCGGTATAATGCTAGGATGGGCGTTCTTATACAATGTGGAGGCGAGACTATTGGGAAATACGATTGTGATCTTCATCTATTAAGTGAAAATTCAATGTGGGTATCTTTGTTAGATATCTGACTAATTTTGTAATACCCTCTATAATTTTTTTCTGTACGTGTATATTATCATCTCTATCTTATTTATCATAGATAAACGCAAACAGAACAATGATATGTCTCACATAATATGACATTTTATCTTAATTTGGTTTTCTAATTTTAGAAGGAGCATTGAGAGTTGATGCCAATGTTTCGATACACAAAGAATCTGAACCATTGGGAACAAGAACAGAGATAAAAAATATTGGATCAGTGAGAGGAGTAGCTGGAGCAATCAGTTATGAAATACAAAGACAAATAAAGCTGAAAGAATCTGGTCAAACTATTGCTAATGAAACGAGAGCTTGGGATGCTTCTACAAAGACTACAGTGGCAATGAGAGACAAAGAAGTACAGCAGGTAAGGTATTTTAAGACATTGAAATTTAAAGTAACTCTAATATTAAGTTGGAGATATAAATTTTAGGATTATAGGTACATGCCTGAACCAAATTTAACTCCACTTCATATTGCAATGGGTCCGGTAGAAATCGGTTGTGTAAATGCTGACCAAATAAAGAAAACTATACCAGAACTGCCAGAAGAGACAAGACAAAGGTTGAGAAGAGATAATGGTCTGACTTTGGAACAATCAATTATATTAGTAGTAAGTATATAGACGGAACATCTTTTTGAATATCCAAATACATCCATTCATGTTGCGTTGCAAATTATAGGAGATGGAAGTCAGGGAAACACAGAATGCAATCATCGAAAAAATATATTTTGTAACTGTTGGTGGTCATACTAATATTTAAAAAAATATATATATCTTTATGTTTGTATTATGAGTTTACCGAATTTTTTTGAATGATATAACAATCAAATTTAATTCTAGCTTTAAAAATTGTTTGTTGTTAATAAACTGCACCTAATTTAAAAAGTATGTAGAATATTGAAAAAACCGTTTCAATATCGCCACTTTGACTTTGTTAGAGCTTTAGGTTCCTAAATATAAAAGTAGCATTAACAGGAAAGTTTTTGAGGATGATGTACCCAAAGGGTTGTCATCTTAGAAATAATAATACCTTGTTCTTTATTTGTTTTTCGTCTTTTTCTAATGAAGGTAGACTGCATACAATTTTGAGTTTTCCCATCTTTTAGAATTTGCAACGCACTTTATTTATACTTATATATTTTTTAGAATGACAGTGCTTTATTAAATGTATTCGAAGAAATAGTGTCTAAGAATATTAACACAAAAATGGTAGCAACGTTCTTAATAAATGATGTAAATACATTATTAAATAAAAAAGATATGGAGTCTGAGGATATGTAGGTATTTTGGAATCTGTTTTGAATGAAAGAAAAATTTCTATCCTATTGTTTATATATCATTTTAGCAAAAATCCTAGCCACATTGGAGAAGTTTTGGAATTATTAGAAAAAGAAGATATCAATAGATCTACAGCGAGAGATTTGTTGGAAGATATCTTATCTGGAAATAATAAAAGCCCAGTTCAGGTAATTATATAGGTTCAGCTTTTAGTGTTAATCACCAGTTATATAACCTGGACCGAAGGCTTTGCGTTTTAATTAAATTCAAAATTAAAAATTTCTCGTGTCTATGGCAACATTTTTTTCTTTTTATTAGCACCCTTTATATTTAGCTTGCATTCCTGGTTGAACTTTGTGTAAAACTAATCGTATCTGGATGTTAGATTGCTACTCTGGTAGCAATTCAACTTTTTTTTTCGGCTACAATATTTGATTTTGTTTGTTATGTATGTACAGCGATTTTAATTATTTTTTAGATTGTACAAAAAAGGAACCTATTACAAATCAGCGATGAAACTAAATTGAAAAAAATATGTCAAGAAGTAATGGAGGAAAATACCAAAGCTGTCTTAGATTACAAATCTGGAAAGACAAAAGCTTTAAAAGCTTTATTGGGTGCTATTGTAGCCAAGAGTAAAAATAAGGCAAACATGAAAAAGTGTACTGCAATATTACATTCTTTATTAAGAGATAAGCTATAGTGTATTGGTGTTTTATTAAATTTGTTGGAAAATATTACTTTTACTTAGTAATCCCTTTTTATAATCCTAAATATTCAGTCAACTTTTTCCCACGTTTCCGATGTCTTCACCATTTGATCTTTTTATTTTTGTCTCAAAAATCAAATTTTACAATTGTTATTGGTTGGATTTAAAAAAACTGAATGGAGAACAGATAGGTGTCTTTAAGAAACTATTATAAATGTAGATATATGTTATAGCTTATTGATTATCTTAAATACTATCAAAAGAGTAAAAACGTATCTGGGAATAGATGCGCCTTCTGATCATAACATACTTCTTGCAAAATTGTGTATAAATGTATAAAACTAAAAAAATCAAAGAACAAAAAATTAACATTAGACAGAGAATTTGTAAAAAGGTTAGAGATATAACATACAACAATATTTCAAAGAAAAGTCGCATTTTTATTTTTGGTAATCATAAGAAATAACCTAGCTGAATAGCTAGTTGTTAAAAGGCAATGTAAATGTAGAAAAGGTAACCACAGTATATACCACAAATAGTAGATCAAGTGAAATAAGACATATGGGGAGAGTGAATTGCAGGAGCCCAACCGTTCGTAATGGCGACGGCGCTACTAGTCACGTTAGGTCATAGAGCATAAAGATAACTCGATGATTGAAACAAAAATCTAGTACTATCTTTATATTTTATACCATATTTTATCTTAATAACACTAATACGTCGCTAAATAGTTCTGAACAGAACTGTTTTTTATATAAATGCAAACATAAAATCTAAAAATTAAAGGAATAACGCAGAAAATACAAAAAAATCATGGATATAAATTTTGAATTTTAAAATGTCATTAGTGTCAAAATGTCATAATTTAGTGGAGTAAACTTGCCTGCGGTTGGACCAATTACAAACAAGCATTACGGCGCGGTAATTTTCAATTCTTTCAAGACTTTATTTTCAATTCAGACCATATGTTTTTTAATTTGCCACCTAAAATTCAGAACCTACGTTTTAAATTTACCCTCAAATTTAGTTACAAATAAAATTAGTTTCGGCCCGTCCGCATTTGGCGCTAAAAACTCTCCCAAATCTTTCTGTAGGACTTACCGTACTAGAGGACTATCTACTGTGGTTCTAACCTCAAAACTTTCTTTTTGACAACCACATTGAAATGGAGTAAATTAAAATATAAACAATTACTTTAATTTGCAAAGATTTTCACAATGGCAGAAGAAATTCTTCCCAAAATCGTACAACATATTTGTAGCAACTGGACAGGGTTAAAATTAGCAGTCGAACATTCGATGGGAGGACCAAACAGTAAACAGGTAAATTTTATTTCGTTTTATTTTAGACTGATTTTGCATTGATTTATTCAACACATGTAAGTGAATATATTGTAATAGAACTTTAGAATAGTAAAATTTTATGAATATTTTGTTTTTGTAGCTTGCAATTGAATGTGTAGAGGAAGTGACAGCTTTTTGTATACAAGAGCCAAATTTGGAGGTAGAGGATTTAGAAGACTTATTAGAAGACTTTATGGATGAAAAATTTGATATTCTTTTTGAAGATGGATCTCCTAAAGGTGTGTACACACATTTATTGTATTAAAAAAAGAAGTCATATTTGAAATCAGAGCATCAGAAATATTTTCAATTCATTATAACTCAAACACCAAATGTTTCCACTTTGTTGTGCTGATTTATCATTCCTGTTCCATACCATGCGAGTAAAATGTTTACTTTGTGTTTATTCAAGTTCTTCCTTTGACAGAATTTTTGTTTTTTATATGCGTATTTGCTTCATTTTTGAAAGTATTTACTTGACAAAATTTGTTTGTGACATTTATTTTCCAGCATTTAAGCCAGTCTTTTAGTTCATTGAGGTGATTTTGCAATTTGTTAAATGCTAATATTTCATTGATGTCTGATGCTAATATACCAGCGTCATCCGCAAATTTTGCCATTAGTATATTTTCGCTATGTGACTGAAAGGGTTAACGTACTCTGAATTTTATTCGGATGTTTTTCACTTAGAATTCCAATAAAGAAACTGTTGTCTAAATAGACATATAAAGACGAATGTGTCAATCTAGAAATGGCTTAGATGTAGACTTTTTTCTAGCTCTCTGAATAGTATTCAAAAAAAAGCTGAGAAAATCTTTTTAAAATACAGTGTAGGAGGTCACTGTAAACTGTCATTTAGGTATTTATTCTATTTATTTGTCTTGTGTAAATTGTATGCAATTATTATTGAGTTCTAAAACTGTTAATATGATATGATTTATTTAATGATTGTAATTGGTATAACCTAAATAAACTATTTATTTATTTATTTGGTGGTAGTTGGATAGAGCACCTTCATATTTAACTTGGAAGTATCTGTCAGACAAGTATTATTTAAGGAGGAGGTAGATTTGGTCAGATAGCTGAGTTTTTATTTTGAAGAGAAGACCCTCGTGCCACACTCTATCAAATGCTTACTGTATATCAAGGAATGCTGATAGATAGATTTTTATCTCTTTTATTTTGTTGACTAATCTATGGCACTGTTGTATGGTTGAGAGATTTAAGTAAAAACCAAACTGATGATCTGGGATAAGGTTTTTTATAGGTATTATTGTTTCTATTCTGTTAAGGATTAACCTTTCAAAGACTTTTGATAAATTCAGAAGGAGACTTATTGGTCTGTACCAACTGGCTTCAGTTAGAGGTTTGCCAGGTTTAGATATCATTATAATTTGTGCATACTTCCATTGCATTGGAGAATAGCATAGTCTCAGGAGGCTATTAAAAATAATGGTTAAATAATAATATTAAGAGCTGAAAAAGAACTGGCTTGTTGGTCAGAAATACAATAACAAAGGGCATAAGAAGATGGCTTTTAACCCCAAGTTTAAGAGGGTTTTTCCTTACACTATAAGGAATATATATATATACCAAGTTTTAAGACTCTACTAACACTTTCTTTAATAAATTTCTCTGTGCACTTAATCAATGAAACCATTATTTACCTCTATCATTTGTTACTATTTATGTTTCAGAAATTGCTACCATATTGTATAAATTTGTACAGTTAATAAAAAGTGGAAATCTTCAACAATGTGAAGAAGAATATCTTAAGCTTCCAACAGCAAATACTACCTGGTTGCAGGAAAGTAGAACACAAGCTACTCAACCAGAGCAGGTATGTATTAATTAGTGTTCAACTTTAGAAGTGAAGCTTAAATTCTGGCATTGTATGACTTGTTTCTTCAACAGTTAAACATCTTTGACATCAATTCACTACTCTCCACCCTAGTCTACTACCTACTGTTCCATTTTTTTTTTGTGTAATTTGAAATAATTGCCCCTTTGCTACTCTATGGATCCATCCATCATATTAAAAAAAATAGCTTTGATTTGATATAAAAAATATGCATATTTGTCATATTGTATTTAAAAAATAAATTAACGAAATAAAGTTTTACCATTATTTGAATTAAAACTATTTGTGGCCACTTTTTAAATGTATGTAAAAATGTGAGTTTGATTAACTAAGTTATGAACGTAGTGATCTTGCAGTGGGATCTTAGATTACAATTAGTATTTGCTATGAGCATGTACCCATGGTTGTATAGTAACGTTAAGTCAATGTCAAAATTTAACCAACAACAAGAATTAATTTCTACATTCATTTATCAGTTGCCACTTAATTTATTGAACAAAGTATCGTTAATGATAGTTTCTCATTAAAACATGTTTTAGGATGATAGTGAGTCATCTAGTGATGAAGAAGCAGACAAGGAATCTGTAACACCAATGGAAGATGATGGTTGGACAGTTGTACAAACAAGAAGAAAAAGATAATTAATTGTATTTTATATTTATAAGTAAATTAAAGTTTTGTTTAAAATATTCGTTCTCAGTGTATTATTCTGTTTGAGTTAGATTGAATGGTTGGATTTATTAGCATTGATAACCAACAAAATATATTTTCCATCAATTAATATAAATCATTTTTAGGGTACATATTGCCCATTCATTTCACAAGTTGCTGGGAATAGTTCCAGCAATCATTCAAATTTAGTAATTATTATGTTTTCAAGATAAGCATATGCCTACTGTCAGGTTCAATTAAGGATATAAACAATGATATATTTAATACATCATTGGATATAAACAATTACATAACCTCACAAATCATATATCTGTGTTATGTATTTCCTTCTAAAACATGGCGCGCGTGCTGAAAAGCTTCAAAGGCGGCATCTGAGAGTGGGCATTCTGATTGTGTATTATTCTGTGCCAACACTGCTATACCGATATTTGTTGTTCCATGTTTGAGATTTGCAGCTATAATCAGCTTGTACTTTCGGTAAACTCAACCGAATTCTAAATATCTTTCTTCTTTCTAATGTAAATTTCAACCACAGTATAGTTCTTGTCTAGTGTCTATACAGTGTTTCAGAGGTTTCAATCAATGACGTATAATATATAGACTACGCAGTCCCCTATTCTCGCTATAGAATCGAGTGTCCGAAAGATCTCGGCTCAAGGTTGAAGGTATGTTTATTAGAACAGCGGCGTGCTCATTTATATGTTAATGACAATAATTATTTTTTTAATTAAAATTAAATATTTATGATTTCTTTTTGTTCCCGTCTATAAGAGAAATAATTATTTTGATAAAATAGTATGGCATTTTACTAAAATAGTAAGTAAATAACTATCAACAATTTAAAATAAAATTTGCTTGTCACACAAAATGGAGTACGTCCATGATGTTTTTAAACACAAGATCAACTTCGTGATGCTTCGTAAGAAATCATGAACTTCGTGCATCTTCGTATCAAAACAATAAACAATAACAAAGGTATTCATGTTTTGGACACTTTTTAAAGCGTTCACCGAGTCTATATATTATACGTCATTGGTTTCAATACTGCCAAACTTCAATATTTTCTTCATTTTTTGTTCTGTTAAACTCATTTGAGGCTATCTTCATTGCGACCAAATGTGAAAAATGTTCAGTTTAACCAATGACGTATTTAACAAAACATGGTATCCTTTGGTGAAGAACGTTAACTAGTTAACTGTTCTTGTCCTTTGTTTCACAGACCACCTTTGGTCATCAATATTTGGTCAATATTAAAGGACATCTTAGTGAGAGCGCCCACCAAAGTGGCGTGGCACTAGCAAGTGGCAAGTAGCACGCGTCTAGCATGTTTCTTAAAATGTAACCAATGAAAACGAATGATTCAGCGCACACCAAAATGATAGTGACGTTATTCATTCTAATCATTCGTTTTCATTGGTTACATTTTAAGAAACATGCTAGACGCGTGCTACTTGCCACGCCACTTTGGTGGGCGCTCGCCCTTACACAAACTCTCACACGCATGTCAACTATTTCTCAGAATAAATTTATGTCTTATGGTTACCAATGCTATATCTTACACAAACTTCAAAAAGGTGTCTCACACGCAAGGTTATTAAAAATAGACAGGTTGTCTGGTAACTTTACACCAATCAGCGTCGAGAATCTAACGGCGGGAATGACGTCACTGAGAATGCTACATCTTAGAACATATGTTCTAAGTGCTACCACAGTATATTTATACTGTGGTGCTACATTCAAATTCATTCACTTTACTCCTCGAAATGAACTCGAAAAGCAACAATGATTGTAAATATATTAATCTATGTATATCGAAAACAAATACATTTGGACTTTTAATAACTATTTATTTCATTCAATATTTAAAAAATGTTGGAGATAAGTACCTGCAGAGTTACAGAAATCATAAAATATTATTGCAGCTAAACATATGTAGTAGAATAGAATTACTATATTAAATTGGAAGTAGATTCTTTCTTGTGTATACATGTGACTAAAACATGTTAATATGCTATATTAATAATGGGTTGAATACAATTTACTTTCTTAAAATTATTTGGAATTGAGGATAATGCATTTAGTGGATTATTATAAATTACTCCAAACTAGTAAACCATGCTGAAAAAGAGATTCAACTAAAGATTTATATATCAGAATTAGTAGTTTTTCCCTTAACTTCAATATATTTGAGAAACATCTGATTACATTACTGGATTATATAATAGAATACAAAAAATATTAAACCATGATTCCATTAAATAGATACCTATTAAGTTGTACATAATTAACAGTAAATGATAAAACTCAAAATCAGTGAATTAACACATTTTGACTGAACATTTAAATGACTATACCTACTTTCCATCTTTTTTCAGCTTTTTAGGTTGTATGTTTAAAATAGTTTAGCTTTTAAAGCATCCTCATAATCTTCCATGCGAAAGTGTATACTACAAACTCTTTTATTAAAACAGGACCACTTATCCTTCCTCTGACACTTGCTCATCCATTGCTTTTGAATTTTTACATTTTTTTGGAAATGTAAAAAACATTAAATTCCTTCCATCCTTTTTGGAATTTTTTGAATTATATTTGCAAATTGCTACACTACAAATATTTCCACCAGTCATCTGAATCAATAAAAAAATTGAATGAAGTTATCTTTTTCCTGCGTTAATCCCAATGTTACCTTTACTATATAATGCAGCAGAAATAAAATCCAGTAAGACACAACCACGTTAAATGTATCTTAACACTTGTATAAGAGTATTGGGTCCAAGTTGTATACTAAAAATCACTCAATAATATCTATAGACATATTATATCTCAAGATATTAACATAAACTAAAGCACTAACGATATTTAACAACAAAATATATTTTAAAAACCACTTCTATTTTGTTTTCAAACAATTCGTAAAATTAATTACTATTAAACTGGGAATAAGCCACAATTAAAGATAAAAATACGTTTATTGACGATTTCCGAAGTGGAAATTGAAACGTCAATAAACGTATTTTTATCTTTAATTGTGGCTTATTCCCAGTTTAATAGTAATTAATTTACAATGCCACAAGAAAATAGCTTCAGAACAATAATTCGTAAAATTGACCCCCTGGGTGACGTCACACGTAGTATTTCATTCTGTCAATGTCATGAGTTACCATGCAACCTCCCTTTTACTAGCCTTGTCTCACACGCATGTCAATTATTTCTCAGCATAAATTTATGTTCTATGGCTACCATTGCTAAAGGATATCTTACACGTAGTTCTAAAGGGTCTCTTACACGCGTATCAATTATTTTTCATAGCAAATATATATGTTCTGTGATTACTAACACTAAAGTGTATCTTACACGTGCCGCAAAAGACGAGAGGCTAATTGCCACCTTGAATTCCATCTTCTCATTGGACGACTGAATGACATTTTTGACATCAGTTAGTGAGGTTAGGTAATCAGTATGTTCTATCTTTTTATTCGACGATTTTGTCACGTGACCTATTGAAGTTATGTTTAAATTGTTTAGGAAAAAAATATATGAAAATGAAAAATGATATTTCCTTGAGTTATAGAAATAGCAGGTCGCCGGTTAGATTACATCAATCGGGCTGCAGCAAAGTGTTGAATAAATATTATACTTAAAGATTATAGAGAGAAGCTGTGTTACTTATTTTTTTTTAATGCATTTGATTGCCCAATACAAGGGCCATCTACATCAACAACTACCTCAATTGGTAAGAGATTGTTTTATTAGAAAGCTGTTACTTTATGTGTTTTACATGCTGTTTTCCACTACAATCTATAATGAATCTTCAAAGTAGAGGACAAGTTTTATTGGAGAGTACCAACCAAAAATTATTTGTAGAAGGATAAAGACAAACTGTTTATTTTGATTACAGTTTTGATCCAGTTGAACTGTACCAGCCGCTTAATATTGAAGTAGAGAAAATTGCAGAAACAGGTACAAATATTTTATTTTAATGCACTATTTTAAAATTTCTTTGACTTTGTCTAAAGACATTTGATAATGTTAACAAAAAAATCTTATCTTACAGGAACAAGTTGACAAACTCTAACTAAAACTAAAAAGGTTTGTTTTCTCAAATGTAAATGAGAAGTTTGGGACAGGCGCAAATTTACAATCATAGAAGAAAAAAAAGACAAGAAGTTGTAAAGGGCAATCAATAAGGGCACAGTAAAATGGGAATATTTTAAAATATTATAATCTGACAGATTTGAGGACTTTAGAACAATTTGTAGATAGTTTGTGACAATGTATCTTTATCATCATCAGTGGCATCACATCTTTCTTCAGAACAATCCTCCATTGACCCCTGTATCTGACAACTCTTCTCCATTTTCTAATTCCAATAGATTTTAAATTATCCTCTAGGTTGTCTCGATACCTAAATCTTGGTCTTCCTCTGGCTCATTGTCATATCAGCCCTGTTTTGTCAAAAACCTTTCTAACTGTTGCACCTACCTTTTGCCTAATTAAATGCTCTATCCATGTAAGCCTTGCTATATTAATGAATTTTATGTCAGGTTCCCCAAAGCTTCTATAAAACTTCTAAAAAGTTGTAATGTCTGTGTTATAAACATTGTTCTTTGTAGTAGTATCTTTTAGGTGTATTTGTATTGTAGTATGTTTTAGGTTTGATTTAATTTTTTGTATTTAACAATATATAAACATTTTTCTTTTAAAATGTTATGTTTAAAATAAAAAACACAGTTCGCAACAATATGATATCTTCATATTCTCTATATGGATTTTAAATACTTCCTTTTTTCCCCCCATAATCTATGCTGCTGTTGTAATAATCATTACATCAAGTTTTTTGATTATTCATTACTTTTTACGTAAATATCAACCTTTTGTCTCAATGTAAAAGAGTAAGTAGTTTTCAAGTTATGTATTTGTGTTAGAGGATATGTTTAAAATACATAATCTTATTTTATTGCTATATTCCATTTTCCACTAGTCATAACTAGTCACTAATAAAGTTATACATTTAGTAAATTTTATTTCAAATGATTTTTGATGTTTGAGTTCATAAAAAATCATAATTATAATTTTTATTATACTAAAAAACAATTTTCCTTGGTAAATTTTCAGATCTCGAGCTTGTTAATAAATTGATTGGATACAAAAGACAATACCATTGAAAAAAATATGTATTTAGACTACTGTAACAATAAATCAATTTAATACATTGTCAAAGTCGCCTCCTTTCATTTCCAAACATTTTTGAATTATATCAGAAAAATTTTCTCGTAACCTTCAGAAATATGTTTGGTTGATAGGGTCTTCATATGTCCCCAAAAATAAAAATCTAGGGGATTAAAGACATTCATGTGAAGTGAGCCAAACAATAAGATTATGTATTTGTGTATATGTGTAACACTCTATCTCAGTAATGTAGAATATTTTATTTAAGTGTTTTAGGTTAAACCTTGTATATTAAAAAATGATGAAATAAATAAATTATGTTTATATTATATTTATTTTTATTTATTACATGTTATCATTATAGGAATATATTGATTGTAAAATTATATCACTAAATTACATTATATTAAAAATCTATATATCACTATATAGGTATTATAAAATTCAGGTTAACAACATGGCTTTGCTAAAGGAAAGTCTACATGCACAAACTTAATACTGTATACTAATGTTATTGCTAATTCAATAGAACATAATGATCTCCAGTTGATGCTATCGACACAGACCTCTCTAAAGTCTTCTTTCATGTCATGATCTGCTTATTGAGTGGATAAAAGTAGTTATGTGTCTGGTAGGTGTCAGTATGTAAGATATGGAAATTGTTTATCTCACATATTGTTGAATAAGGTTTCTTACAAATGAAACACATTAGACATTTTTAATATAATTTAAAAAACACAAAATAAACCAAAATGAAGTATTGAGTACATATTTTTAACAGGAGGTTCACAACAACAACAATAAACAAAACACGCAAAAATACTGAATACCTAACCTCAATAACTGGTGTCAAAAATGTCATCCAGTCGTCCAATCAGAAGATGGAATCCAAGGTGGTAATTAGCCTCTCGTCCGCAAAAGTGCGTCCCACGTCCCACGCGCATGTTAAATATTTTACAGAACAAATATATTGCAGGCTTTACACCAATAATAAATTTATGAAAAAATTCATTCATCAATTTGGGTGTCAATAAATTCATGAATATCTTGGATGTAAAAGTTTCTTTGACTTTAAATGTCATTATTTCCATCCATTTCCATCTAAAAATAATAATCATACAAAAAGAAGCAGAATAATGGAGGAAGGGAAAAACGTCAACCCGACATTTATACAAGCTGATAGCCCCAAATTTTTATTTTTTTAAAGTTATGAATTTCTTTAGTAATAAAAATAGTTAATATTGTTTATTTAAAGAAACATGACTATAATAGTATTTTTAATAGATACATCAGCTTCTATGCTGCAAAGGTACGAACCAACATAAATCATCTGCTAATTAATAACACTAATATGATATTTAACTCTTTTTAGGACCTACATAGGGGGTCGTACGACTCTTCTGGATGTAGCGAAATCTGCAGTAGAAACTTTTGTAAAAATTCGTCAAAGAAGTATGGATAGCAGGAATGATAGGTATATGCTTTTAACATTTGAAGATACCCCAACCAATATAAAAGCAGGTAAAACAACTTTTATTATTATAATCTTATTATGTGATATATTTGACACAACTTTTCATAATTATGTATTTAGAAGAGTAAGATTTTTATTTACAATATATTATTTTAAAGATTAGCACATATCTTTTCAAAATTATATAAAAAATGTGTATTTAACTACTCAATGTCAACCACTACTTGTAGGATGGAAAGAAAATTTAGCTACATTTATGAATGAATTGAAGAATTTGCAAGCATATTCTTTGACGACAATGGGGCTGGCAGTAAAGCAGGCTTTTGATATTTTAAATATTAATAGAATGACTTCAGGGATAGATACATATGGACAGGGAAGATGCCCATTTTATTTGGAAACTGCTGTAATTGTGTTAATTACAGATGGGGGAAAGTTAACTACAGGTAAATGCCAAAATGAATGATTATAAATGTTTAATAATATTCTACACCTATTTTTTCTTTTGTCATTTTATTCTACTTCTATCAGGCAGTGATGAATTACTTGTATCAATATTTATCCCATTTAGAGATCATTTGTATACCACCAATTGTTTTTAACATGTTTCCTTCTTGATGAACGACCTAATTGTGTCTTTATAGTACATGTCTCTAAAAAATTTAATATGTTATAGCTGCTTACATAATATTATTTTTAATATAGAGCTAGATATGGGTTCAATCATTGATATGCCGACTGTTTATACAACAGAAGAACAGGTACAGATAATAAAATGGTACTTTGGAGGCAATTCAGTACAAGAAACTATTAATTTATTTATTATAACTTTTGAAAATAGGCCAGTACCTATAGAAAAAACTGTATTGGCCATTATTCATCAATTTGAAAAGTTTGGCTGTACTAATGGCAGATGTAAAAAATGCTGCCCATCAGATCAACTTAGTGAAAAGAAAATTTCTCAAGAACGAGAAAGTAGAGAAATACAAGTTTGGGCATTGGCTGAAGCAACACCGTGTTAAAGTAAACCAATTGCTGATGAAGTTGATTTGAATGCAAAAACAGTGAGGAATATTTTAAAAACAAACAACTACCATTGTGATAAAGTGCAGACAACTCAAGAAATATTTCCTGATGTTTACAGATGAGTTCTCCTTCACAATTCACAAGAAATATAATCCATCCGTTGTATGTTATTGGTCTCAGAAGAATAACCATTTGAGTGTGTCTATGCGTACACAGTATCCACAAAAGTTGATCGTTTGGGCTGGAATTTTGGAAGACCAATTATTGGTCCTTTTTTCATTGAAGGCAATTTAAACGCAGTAAAATATCTCTAATTACTGCAAAATCAAATTATTCCTGCAAGTCAATGTCTTCAAATTCACTTCAACGAAATTTGGTTTCAATAAGACAGCTATCCTGCACATAATGCAAAGGCCGTTAGAGACTATTTAGCTTTAATTTTTGCTGAATGTGTCATTAGTACAGACAGTACAAGAAAATGGCCCCCTCGGTCACCCGACTTAGCTCCTCTAGATTTTTATTTGTACAGACATGAGTTCAAGCGAGCCACCAACTTGAAGGAACTGAAGGAAAAGATAATTCAACTTAGCCAAAACATATCGGCAAATGAACTCAACGCCATGAGAAATGCGTTGTATAATAGATTTGGTTACTGTTCATTACAATTTGATGGCCTGTTTACAATTTTATACTTTTATACTAATTTTATCTTTTTTTGTTTCATTGTTATAGAAGTAATTTTTATTTTCACACCTACCTTCAAAAAATCTAAAAGAAAATATGGTTTCAAAGATATTATTGGGAAAATACCTTTGTATGAAGCTTTTTTATTGTGGCGGCATAATGCAGTTTATTATTTTTATTGGGAATAAGGCACAATGTGACTTTATAATAAGCTTATTTTGATGTTTAAATTTCCGATTCGGAAATCGTACTGAAAACACAAAACATTAATAAATTTTATTTATATAAAACGATTTCCGAAATCGAAATGTTAGACTAACCTTATTGTAACAGTGAGCTGCCATTTAAATCATTTCGCCCAATATCTAAGAACATTGTTCAAATGCAAAAAAGACAACAGGTCAAATAAAACCAATAAGTTTGGCAACACTGAACTTCCCCTTTTTAATTATTTCTACTAATGCATTTTCGATGATATAAAGGGCGGACCTAATATACCTCTCTATTTTTAAACAGGTGTTTCTCACTCCATCTCACGTAAGGTCCATACCCACCATAAACTTTTACCTACACTGTATATGATTAATTGTTCTGCTCATTAAAATATTAACTTGTCATAACAGTTTTATCTTTTTTTCAGTAAATGGTGTTCAGGAAGAATTTAATTTACCAATGAATTCACCCATCCCAGGATCAGAAATGACCAGAGAACCTTTTAGATGGGATCAAAGATTATTTGCTCTAGTACTTAGGTTGACAGGTTAGTAGCTCAGCTCAAGTTCACAAAGACAATGATTATGTAGTTATTTCCATTTATAAGCCATGAAAAAAGTCAAACAAATTAAAAAATTGTTCTATCTTCTGGCATGCAATATATTCTAACTTTTGGTTCTTTTTGTTATACTTATGTATCTAACTTTATTTTGTACTCAAGAAGATCCTAAGTAGATTCAAGAAACCTAGCAGTTTTCAGTAAGTCTTACCATAGCCTTTATTTTTCACTTGCCACAAACACAGAAAACCTTTTAATTTCAATGAATTCCTTGAGAAAGTCGTGGGTGCATTACAGTAAGTCTGACATTAGATATTTTGGGGAAAAAAGAAGCAAACTGGTGTGGCGCTAGGTGTGAACTGAGCCAAGATCGGACATCTTGTCTCAACATGAGTCTAAACATTGCATTTTTTCCTATCAATTCTCGCAAAATGATGTTTCTACCTTCAGTTCTTCAATCTGATCTTTGATTTCATTTTTTGATTCTTCAAGATGCAAGTTTCCCTGCTTACACGTCACGTTTTGGATAGGATTTGTTCTGTCCCACAAATCATACAATCAGATATAGTATGAAAATTGGCCTTTACATTGACCTATTGAGATGCATCATTCCAGCAAGTTGTAGATACATGCCACCTGGGATTATTTTAAAGTATGGTGTTAGTGTACGTGGTTAATAGGTGGTATTTCGCTACACTGATCTCCATTTAGATCAGAGCGTCCCGATAACACATTATCGGCATTTGTTGTTATAGGCGATAGGTTTTTCCAACTATGCACAAGACTTGAGAAAAAAATAACTATCTATCTTTTTTGGAAGGTCCGATCCTTTTGGATTAGAACAACACCCGCTAATTTGTTCGTTAGTCTCTCAAAAGTTCACCTACATCATGTTTCTTATGGTCTTCCAATTGAAGTTTTCCCATAGTGGCCTATCTTAGATTTTACCAGTGGTAAAGTCAACACTTTTATACGGATCAGACCGAACTTTTTTTTAAAAACTGACGAGATTTCTTCTCATTCCCTTTAAGGGTTAGAAGAATTACCTGCTTTTAAGATTCCATTCTTAGATTGAGAATTTTATTGATAATTCATGCTATCACAGTCTATCTGAATATGTTGTCTGGTAAGTTCATGGATGTTGTTTGTTTTAACTGTATTTTATCAATGTATTTTTTTGACGATTTCTTGGAAAGTTTTGAAGCTGAAACTAACACCTCGTGGTAGTAGAACTTCAAGTGACCCAACATCATGTAAACGGAGGATCTTGCTAGTAGTTTTATGAGAAACAATTGAATGTTATGATATTGTTGATGTTTATATACATCTTTGGAAAGACGTTTGCCTATTGTTCTTTTCATCCACTCTATCATTCCATTTTCACTAAGGATACTAGTTTGTTGTTCTGGTGTCATTGGTACCAATCAATCAGCAAACATTTTGAGTGTATTTGAAGTTTCATCCTTGGCCTGAATCTATTTCTAAAGAATCATTAAAACAGCTGAAAAATTCTTTATTTCTAGCATCCTTTCGGACAACGGTCATACAATGGACCGAACGCATGCGAATTTGGTTTTCAAAGCTTGAAACAGTATCACCAGAAACTGGACGACTGATGCATTATCCGATTGATTATAAAATGATTTATAGCTCCGAATAACACTGCAGAAGTTAAACTGTACAATTAAAAGTGTCTGCCACTATTTATTTTCATTTTATAAATTATTTAAATAAATAATCCCATATAACGTAAACAACTAACATGCTGTATCTAGAGAGTGTGATGTCAGCCACTGCTATTCGTGGGTGGACTTTCGTCACAGTAATTATCTTTTTGTTTAGGTACCCCTGCCGTAGAAAGAGACACAGGATTGGTGCCTAGTGATAGCAGCCCAATAGATGCAATGTGTGAAGTAACTGGAGGTCGTTCGTATTGTATAACATCTCATAGGATGTTGAATCAATGTATTGATAGCTTAGTTCAAAAGGTAAGTACGTTTGAACAAGTTTAACAATCTTTAAAGGCTCTTGTTACTAACTCTTTAATACCCTTTAGGTACAAAATGGTGTTGTGATTAACTTTGAAAAGATAGGTCCAGATCCTCCTCCACCCCAGTATGATAAAGAAGAGGGTAAGGATGATATTCTTAAAGAAAATGAATATGCCGAAATGAATAATGATCGAGGTCTGAATATGCCTATAAATACATCATGGCACAATTGTCGGAAGATGATATATGTTCCAAAAGCAAGTAAAGCGTATTGTATTGGTAAGTATAAAAACAAGATGTTATAAGACTATTTTTTATTTTTGAAAATAATTTCTCTTTTTTCGTCACTTCATATTTATAACAATTATTTGAATCATCCCTTGCTGTGGCAGATCTGGAATTGAATTTAAGTTACATTATAAACAAGATTAAGACTATTTTTTATTTTTGAAAATAATTTCTCTTTTTTCGTCACTTCATATTTATAATAATTATTCCAATTATCTCTTGCTGTGGCAGATCTGGATAAGTCACACATATAAACAAGATGTAAGACTATTTTTTATTTTTGAAAATAATTTCTCTTTTTTCGTCACTTCATATTTATAACAATTATTCGAATCATCCCTTGCTGTGGCAGATCTGGGATTGAATTTAAGTTACATTATAAACAAGATTAAGACTATTTTTTATTTTTGAAAATAATTTCTCTTTTTTCGTCACTTCATATTTATAATAATTATTCCAATTATCTCTTGCTGTGGCAGATCTGGATAAGTCACACATATAAACAAGATGTAAGACTATTTTTTATTTTTGAAAATAATTTCTCTTTTTTCGTCACTTCATATTTATAACAATTATTCGAATCATCCCTTGCTGTGGCAGATCTGGGATTGAATTTAAGTTACATTATAAACAAGATTAAGACTATTTTTTATTTTTGAAAATAATTTCTCTTTTTTCGTCACTTCATATTTATAATAATTATTCCAATCATCTCTTGCTGTGGCAGATCTGGATAAGTCACACATATAAACAAGATGTAAGACTATTTTTTATTTTTGAAAATAATTTCTCTTTTTTCGTCACTGCATATTTATAATAATTATTCCAATCATCTCTTGCTGTGGCAGATCTGGAATTGAATTTAAGTTACATTATGGTTAAAATAAAAAATTATTTTAATTTATTTGTTTTAGGGTATTGGCCCATCCCGGAATCATTTTGGCCAGAAGCTACAGCATCAGCACTGCCTCCTAGATCAGCTCATCCTAACATAAAATTCGCTTGTACAAACTCTGAGCCTTTAGTGATTGAAAATCTACCATTCGATAAATATGAATTGGAACCTTCGCCCCTCACGCAGTTTATTTTATCACGGAAACAGCCTAAAACTTGTTGGCAGGTAAGAAAAGTTGATGTCTTATCTGCATAATTCTCATTGATTGCTCAGAAGCTAACAAAGTTCGGTGAAATTTTTTATTTGATTGTTATATGTTAGTAATGTATGCTGTATTCGTAGGTTTTTGTTGCCAACAGTTACAAAAATTCGGAGGTTGGACATCCATTTGGATATCTTAAAGCAAGTACAAATTTAACATGTGTGAACCTTTTTGTAATGCCTTACAATTATCCCGTATTGTTGCCCTTATTAGATGAACTTTTTAAGGTAAGTGTCTAATGTTTTTAAGTTTAAATATATTAAGTGGATAATTATTTTAGATTCATAGATGGAAACCAACAAATGAGTGGAGGACGCAGTTTCAAAATTATACCAGAACTTTGCCTGCTTATTATGCTGGACCTCTAAGAAGGGCTCTTACAAGAATGGGTATGTGTCAACAAGAATGTTTAATTATTTTATTATTTTAACTGTACAATACGTGTAATGTCGATATTTCTAAACTGAAGATTTAAATTAAACTCTCCACTCTACTGATATTTCACCGTCTTATAATAATCAAGTATACCACGACACTGCTGGAACCTCATAAACAGTCGAGAGCTATCTATCTGTGCAAGACTAGGGCGCGTACTAAACCTTCTGATTGTTTCTTATGCTCAGTGATGTTCTTGGGAGTTCATCTTTCGGAGAATTTTTGGAAGCGATGGGATAAAAGGATTTTAAAGAGAAATAATCATATGGACATTTACTTTTTTTTTTTTTTTTTTTTTTTTTTTTTTTTTTTTTTTTTTTTTTTTTTTGGATGAGAATCTTCTAAAGAGATCTGGGAAGAGGACCCAGATACTGTTGGATTCGTCTGAACTATAACGTTGGAATGTTGATAAGGTTAGTTCAGGCGCCTACCAACTAAACTCACCCTCTCTTCCAGCAGCGCACCCGGAACTTTTCTTGGCGAATGCAACTTCGGGAGCACCACCGCGGTCTTCAATTTTCACGAAAACCTAGTATTGTCCTCGGTAGAGAGTCTCAAAGGTAGCTGAGTGACATAATGACAGTATAAAAAACAATATAAGTAAGTAAATAGGACAGTTACACTATAAAATTAGTACAGAACGCTGAAGTATGTGTCTAATGAGCAAAAAAAAACGCGAATTACAATTATTTTATTAGTCTTTCAGCCTATTCCTTCATCCTGTCTCGCTCTTTCTAGCGTCTCCTTTTTTTTTATGATTTCCGTTATTATTTCTAACACATAATCATAGTTCTTTCTGTTCTGCATAGCTAAGTCCAGTATATTATTGGGCGTGACCTCTCCTAGCTTAATTCTCAGTCTTTGACGTTCTTGTAGAAAGACATTGCATTCGAAAATGCAATGTTCCGCGTCATCAGTCACACCACAATCCATACAGATATCGTCATTTGTTTTTTTAATTCTGTATGTATACGACCTAAAAGAACCGTGTCCGGTCAGGAATTGTGCAAAGAAATAGTTTATTCTCTTGAACCTACATTTGTACCATGCTTTTACATCGGGTATTAGTATTTTAGTCCATTGTGCTTTTTCCCTTTGTGCCTCCCATTCAGATTGCCATTCATCAAGGATCTGGTTCCTAATTTCGTCTCTTACCTGTGTCAGGTGGCCGTTGCCGTTATTGTATAGGATGGCTCTTTCTTTCGCTAGGAGGTGAATGGGGAGTGTACCAGCAATCACCTGTAAGGCTATCGTAGATGTAGTCCGGTACGCACTAACTACTTTAAGAAGGGGCTTTCTTTGAGCTTTTGTAATCAAGTCTTTGTACCTGGCAAACCTTAAGACTTCAATCCATACAGGGGCACCGTACAAAAGGGTCGAATGCACTATTTGCAAGTACATTCTTCTTTTATAATTACTTGGCCCTCCTATATTAGGCATTATTTTCATAATGGCCGCTGTTCTGCGTTCTGCTGCTTGGACTACATTTATCAGGTGTTTGGTAAATCGTAGGCCTGTATCAAGGTGTATGCCTAGATATTTAGCACAATTGGTTGGGACTATCGTCGTACTTGCAAATTGGAAAGTCAGGTTGGGTATCGCTCTAGGCCCTTTTAATATAATTATCTCTGTTTTATTACACGCCAGCTGTAAGTCGTTAGTTGTCATCCACCTATTAACTTTTCTCCAGCATATATTAACTTTATTTATTGCATCCAAGTTTGTGTCACCCTCTATTAGTATTGCTAAGTCATCTGCATATGCAATTGCTGACGCACCTCTGCCGTAATCTATTTCCAATACTGTGTTATACAAGACGTTCCACAACGTTGGACCTAATACAGATCCCTGCGGTACTCCAGCCGATAGTTTTGTTTTTTCTTTGTTTGACACTTTAATATATCTGTCGGTGAGGTAATTTTTAATTATATTTATTAGGTAGTCTGACACTCCAGCGGTTTCCAGTTTCCTTATGATGTATGCCCAATTGGCAGAATTGAAGGCATTCTTTACATCGAACATAACAAGAATTGCCCATTTATTTCTTGTTTGTTTGACTGTATCACATATAAATTTTACCGCGTCTATAGCTGATCGTGTTTTTCTAAAACCGTATTGCTGGTCAGAAATAGCTCCTGTGTTTAAGAGCTCCTGTTCAAGGCGGCGTTTTATGAGGCTTTCATAGAATTTCCCAATACAATCTAATAAACATATAGGCCTGTATGAACTAGGCCCGTCTGGTGGTTTACCAGGTTTTAAGATTAAGACTAAATTTGCAATCTTCAATTGGTCTGGGAATTCTTGGTTGTGTAGGAGCTCATTTAATACCTTTCTGGTGACTTCAGGATTTTCCTGTACCATAATATGTATGGCTTCTGGTGGCACACCATCTGGGCCAGGGGATCTCCCGATTTTTATGTTTTCGGCAGCTAATCTTATTTCATCTATGGTGAACTCGTCAGGTCTATTATCTAGAGTATATGGTAGAAATTGGCATTCGGGCTTATTAGGAAAAAGGGCTTTCGCAATTTCCTTTCTTTTTTCTACACAAAGGTTATATGGAGCCTCGGACCTCAGTGTCTTAGTGGCAATTTTATAGGCTTCACCCCATATATCGTTGTCCAGCGTGTCACACAGGTTCTGCCAGCATGTGCGTTTAGCCCGCTTTATTTCTTTTTTTAGTTCTTTCTTTACGCGCTTATATTCTTCCAAGTTTTCTTGGGTCCTGTTCCTTTGTGCTATTCGCCTGACTCTGAAACATTTTGTTCTTTTAAGCTGTATCTCGTCGTTCCACCAATAGGGTACAGTATATGTGACACATTTTTCCTTGCTGCTGCTTCTGTATGCATGTATTAGGTTTTTATGGTAGTTTGTGAAGTTAGTAGCTTCTTCTCGTAGGTTGCTAATTTTATTTTTAAATAGGTCTTTGTTAAAACTTATCTTTTTCCTACCGCTCTTCGTGACCTTGATGCCAATCTCGTAAACAATATATCTGTGAAAAGTAAAAATGTTTTCGTCAAGAACGTCCCAGTTAGATATTTGATTGGCATAACTTTCGTTTACGAGGGTAATGTCTATGTGGCTTCGGCTTTCACCCCGGACAAAAGTAGGTTTTCCATTATTTAGCGCTGTTAGATTGGCCGTAGAGATCCATTCATTCCATAAATCCCCTCTATAGTCATTTCGTGGGGAACCCCATAAGATAGATTTAGCATTTATGTCGCCAGCGACTATAAAATTCTTTTCTATATGTGACATTTGTATTATGGATTCAATATGCTGTTTGTATTGATCTCTACCTATGTTGGGTGAGATATAACAGGCAATAATAGCTACTTTTTCTAATTTGATTAGTACGTGCCCCTCCCCTTTTATAATCTTATTTATGCACACTTTATGATTTATGGGGTATATTGCTACATCTTCCCTGTTGTCTGTAATCCATCTGCTATTTTGGATGATTCTCTTGTTTGGTTCAGGTACTATTAGAATATCTGCTCCAATTTCGAGGGCTTTCGCATGAATCAGATCATGTGCAACCTTGGCTCTTCCGATGTTCACTTGTAGAATTTTTAGTCTTTTTAACCCGGTTAAAGCCATTTTGAAATCATTACCTTAGTATCATGTGTTAAAGGTCACATAGGATGACGGAACAGGCACTTAGACTGAAGTTGTCAGAACTCCCTGTGACAACGTCACTACACTAAAGGTAGCTGTAGCTTCGTCGCACAGAGATTTGGAGGACTCCAAATGGGAGTTAACATGAACCTTGTTTGGAGAAGGGAAAGGAGGTATGGGAGTGAGCGTAGGAGGGAAGACATCCGCGTATTCTCCTTGCTGTTTTCTAAGTTTCTCATGATATCTCGCCTCCTGAAGGGCCTTCTTAAAATGTGTGCAGTCCATGCTGCCAGTTCTATGGGCGTCATTACAAAGAACGCACCTTTCTTCCTCTTGACACTTCTCTGCTTCGTGCTCTGATTTACCGCAACGGTAACACATACCACTCCTATCAGGGCCTCGACATTTATCGGTGTCATGCGTGTATGCCCAACATCTGCTACATCTTTTTATTTTTAGTCTTTTCTCGACTCTGCATCTACATACCCCAACTCTGAGAAAATCTCTGCGCAAAAGTATTTTAGCTACTCTCGCCGGGATGACAATTGTTGTGGCAAGGGTGTTGCCCCTCAGTGGTCGCATCTTTCCTATCTTGTAGTGGTCTTCCCACTTACCTATTTGCTCTTGGAATGCCTCGATAACCTCCTCCGTCGTGGCATCCTCTGCCATGCCTCTTATATGTATGGTTTCCGTTATGTGTTCTTCTCCTATTTGGAATGCTCTGAGACCTTCCTCTGTTGTTCCAAGGGCAGTTTTTATTTTTTGTAGTGCTGCTTGGTCTTTCTCCATGGTGATGAGAAGTTTTCCCTCTTTTGTGCTTCTGAGCGAGTGTACGGCCTCTGCTGCGCCAGTTGACTTTACAGCTGTTTTCACAGTCTGTAGTATGTCCTTATAAGCGGCATCTTTTTTGGTAACAATCATACCGTATGTGGCCCTCTCCTTCCGTTTGTTCGTAGTATGGATGTTTACAGTCACCTCTGTTTTTTGGAAAATTATTTCACACATTTTCCGGAGTTCATCTACCGACATGGCATTAACATGGTGGAGAGCGACCTTACCTTGTTGACCCACTTCTTCCTTCACCATGTTGATTTTTTCCCAGATTTGTTTTCTGTCCCCATTTTGTTTAATTTTTATTATTTTTTTGGTCTCCTTTGCCCCTTTTGATTTAATTGTAGTGCTTTGCTCGAGTACTTCATAATCTGCTTCAAGTTCTGCCAACTCTGGGTATTTATCCCTATATAGCCTCTGAATACTGTTGCTCATTTGAGGGTCGTTTGGTTCTACCATGACGACCTTAACGATGTCGTTTCCGGTGGTAATAGGATTACCGATAACTACATTGGTCCTCTTGTATACCTTGTCATCCCATGTCAGGTTAGCCGTTTCTTCCCAGGTTTCAAAACTGTTGATATTATCTAATTTACTGATTCTTTTCTGGGAGCCTCCATGCCACGGGTCAGTTTGGGTGTCAGTGTCAATCGTCAGATTTTCTACTGGCTCGTATTTGTGTTTGTTGAGCCAGTTCACAACTAGGTCTTTTTTAAAAGTAAGTGAGGTCTTCTTTAGACGGGAAGTTATGTCCTTTATACTCTTATGGGTGTTTGGGATGTCTTTTATTGTTTTAGATAGTTCGTTCACTAGTCTTTCATATGATGTGAGACCCTCCATAATCGAGAAATACTCACAGCATTCTTTCCTTTTATAGGGTGCGGTATCCGATTCGGATAGGTTTTTTTTTCCTTTTTTCTCCAGCTAACGATCTGGTCGGTGATTCAGGAAGGGAATTAACCCTTTTTCTTTTTGGTTCGCTTCTACTATTGTCTGTTCTTCCCGAGATTCCGCCGGGTCGCCCCCGATTATGTTTATAATTTCATTTAGGTTCATCTAGATCCCACGAGTAGCATGGACATTTACTTAAAGTGTTTCATTTATTAGAATTTGTTGTTCCGCAGTGATGGTAATTAAGAGTTACCAGTGAAATATTTAACTACTTTATTCTACAGAAGAACTAAAACTAAACATATGATACATTCTAAAAATATAATTACAATTGACAGTTCACAACCAGAATCACTAAAGACATGGTGAACCAGTGTATTACCATTTTATTAAATAACCATTTTATTTTTAAGTGCTGTTTTCTTTAACTCATGTTTTGAATAAAAATTAAAAAAAAATGAGACATTTTAAAAAATCAATACCTACTTTAAATACAATTGTTTTATTGCTCATATTGTTCAAATATTCTCCTTTAGTTTAATGTGACGGAGAGGAGGAATATTCCTATGAAAAATGGGATACATTTCGGTCATCAGAGGGAATTTTTGTGTATCATGCAGAACATCACTGCTTATTGTGTGTCATTACCTTCCATTTACTCTATAATGTTGCTTTTTTATTTGCATATCCTTGGTCATCCTTGGGCTTAAATGTTCCATTTTCTTTTAATCAACTAATAATATAAAAGTTAGGTAATTATTATTTGGATAGATTTTTTCATATTTTCGAGTAGCAGCAATACTAGAATAATGTTCTTGATCATCAACATAAATCATTTAAAGTTTTGAAACGTGACGTTGCTGCATTTTCACTTAAAGTTTAAAAATAACTGGTTTTTTTCAATATTTTATATGTACGGTAAAAAAAAGCGAATTCCTAACGGATTATAGAAGATGATAGTAAAATATATTCATTAGAGCTAATGGAAATAATGAAAGATAAGTTTTATACCTGTTATAATTTGTTTTAGGCACGCCAGTAGCTTTAGCTCAAACATTAATCCCGGAAAATTCCGAAAATGGCTTGAGCTATTCCATATCAAATTACCTGAAACGATTAAAAAATCAGGCCAAATTGGAATATGATAAAATGTGTAACGAGATTATTCAAAGACAAATAAATGTAAGTAATTCATTTTCTTTTTTCCCTCTATTCAATTATCCGCATCATATGTGCAGAGAAATTAGCGGAAAACTAATTAGATTTGCTGTTTGAGACATCTTAATCAAGATCTTATAAGTATACTGTAATACAGCGCCTATTGAATGTTAGGTGTTTTAAAAGCCAAAAGTAGATATGCTATGTACGTTCTGAGGCAACCCCTAAATCGCAACCCTACGGATTTGTTGTGCTAAGTGGAACGTAGGATTTCGATTTAGGGGTTACGCCAGAACGTACATGGCATATCTACTTTTAATGTGACAGATTAATTATTTGTGTCGTTATAATCAACCAATAGAGAAGTTTGGTTCCCTGTTTACGTTGGAGAAAAAGAACAACTTCACAACATACGTATTGAGGTGTTTTTAATAAACTTTTTATTTTCAGATGAACGGATTGAAAACAAATTTCAATAATCCTGAACAGATACGGGTATTGCCCAAAGTGACCTTAAAAAAAGAGTTAGTGAGCCATCCTTTATTAGTGGATAAGTTTATTGCTCAAAGAGATCAAATTCTCGAACAAAGCAATGTATGGATATGCACGTTAGATAAAGAAAGGCAAAGTGTCAGTTTTAAAAATCCGTTTGACATACCTAGAAATCGGTTGATTCAACAGGTAAGCATTTTGTACTGTTTATTACATATATTATTATCAAGTGTGTCAAGAATCTTCAAATATTAATGTATTTATTGTTTCAATTAGGTTGTTCGTATGAGAAACAACTTTCTCCAATCCGATTGGATATCTTTGGATCAAGATAGTGCCCATTCCCTACCTATCTCACAGATGGGTAACTACCAGGAGTATTTGAAGAAGCAGACGCCTCAACTACGAGAAATCGAGTATGCCCCGGTCAGGCAGCATATGTTTGGAAATCCGTTTAAGATCGACAAGAGGATGATGGTAAGTTTTTTTCTGCAAATATAAATGAATTATTGAATTTGCGTGAATACACGAGTGCGATCTGATAGGTATTTAGCCAACAAAAGAAAAATGAAAATTTTGTTCTCAACATTAATTTGAGATATGTTATTTATAGGTAGACGAAGCTGATATTGATCTGGTTGGATCACCTGCAGGTGCCGGTAGAAACAATAAACGTCCAAATCCTTCTAGTGATAACATTATGAGAATACTACCGTGTAAAAGAAAACCCGGACCACTGCCCAAGAATTTTAAATTTTCTAGACCGAGTTCGGATTCTTCGCAACCTCCAAGTCCTCAAGGCTCCCCCGTGCCTTCACCGATACCTTGGTAAGTCATTTTTAAAATATTATTACTGTTTTATCTGTAAATGATAATGACAAATGTGCAAATGTATTTTTTTGTTCACATTGTACAATTACTTACAATATTTATCAATTTAACTTTACTTTTTACTTTGAAAGATATATTCAAATCGCCTGATATAGTATGTAATGTTCACATCTACTCTTGAAGGTTTCAAGCCTATTTCAGAATAGTATGTAATGTTCACATCTACTCTTGAAGGTTTCAAGCCTATTTCAGATCGTTGGTACAATGGATTCACTAGGTTTGGGAAAATTTTGACAGATTGATTGTCAGAAACATACAACATAAAAACTCTAACTGTTAATAACTCAAGTAAACTTAAAGAATAATCATTAGTAGTGGGAGTATATACTCAACCCAATATACAGTGTCAATCACTGAGAACCAGAAAGTCTCCGGGACTTGCAATGTCTCCAAGGAACTTTTAAATTATGAGACAGACAAGCTGTTTACGAACCATTTAGCGAATCTTTTTCAGACGGGATGACAATTCTCGTCTACTGGGTAGATTTCCTACATAATTACAATTCGTAAGGATGGAAGTAAAGAGAACTATGTTAATTATAAATGAATTTCAACCCTCAGTACAATTTCTTCTAAATAAACATACAAATGCGGAATTTCTTGAAAAAGTAGCAGTGGAACGGGTAGGATTTCGAGCAGCAAGATCCACAATAGATCATTTATTCTACATCTCATGGTGCAGACTTATTTTTAACATAATGTTTTATATTCAGGCATCAACTTTTACATTATTCCAAATGCCCCTTGTATGGTACCAATTATTTTATTTTTTTGTTATAGGTTGAACTCGATAGAAAAAGAAATGCCCCGTTTCGACGAACCTCCTAGTCTGATCAACGGTCTGGAGCCGAGTCCATCATCCAGTCCAATCAGCGAGCGTTCAAGGTCGCCATCACCGACAAATATCACCCCCGAACAACCGTCGTACAGCGTAGGAGAATTAAGTTTCAATTTGCGTAATACTGCAAACAATTACAGTTACACCAGTGCGGGTACCTTGGAGACTACAACCACCAACTCTCTAGGCGACTTCTATAATATTTCTCCGACGGACGATAAACAAATTTCGCAAATTTTGAAAGAGGCTAATTTGAATCACAATAGTTTTGGATCATTTAATTCGTTCACTAATATTATTAATAATAACATGATGACCGAAAAACCATATAAAGTAAGTATAGGGTGTTTTACCTTACAGTTTATTTGGCATTAAGAGAAAGAGGGAGCAAGAGTAAGAGTTTTATACTCCAATTCGGTTTCTATACCAAACGCTTAATTGGACACAATATTTTAATAAGTTTCTATACTAGGCGGGTTTTTGGTATAGTGCAGAATAGTTCTAATATAGTAAAAGGAGTATTAGCTCCTTCTTTTTTTGAGATTATCACGCTTTATGTCCTGGCACCCATAATACAGTTACTTTGTTATGTTCGCTATACAGTATACAACTTATAAAGCTGTTACAGATTCATAAGTTGTATATCTCAGTCTCCAGGGCAGCTTCGTAGTCTGGGTAACAAATATTTTGGAATTTTGCGTGCTAAAGCATAAAAATACAGGTCACCGGTTGTTAAAAACTGGTCCGTGTTAAACTAAAGATACTTTCTAGAGCTATTCGTCTTGCATATATATGTAGATGGAAACATTAACCCTATGGCTATAGTGGGGCTCATATTGTCACCACCTACTACCCTTCAAGCCACTAGCAAGGAGAAGGGGAAACAGAGGAGTATGTCTGGTTAGCCGAATTCTGTCAGGCACCGGAGTGGGTCGGGGTTCTCTTAACCAAAATCAGATGTTAGAATGGGGCCAGTCCGTTCCAACGGCTACCCTCGGCTAAGCATGTTTTATTTTCAGAACAGATAGCTTTCGTAGCTTCCATACGAATGAGGAATCTTCTAGACCTTTTAACCTAGAAACCTAGAAACCCACCTAATCCGCAATCCGTTCTAAATTATCAACAAAACTTTCATTTAGTCATTGTCAATTGCAAACATTCTTGCGTGACTGATCAGGTATGGGATTTTCAAGATATATCTTATATGTTATATAGAGTTATAAACGTTAAAGGAATTACACCAGAAAATGGAATAGTGGCATTATGATCATTTCGCATAAAAAAGGAGATGTAACAGAAATTGGAAACTACAGACCTATCAGCGTAATATCTCATTTATGTAAGCTCTTTATGAGAATAATAAGCTAGATTTTCACCAACCACTAGAGCAAGCGGGATTTATTAATGGCTTTGGAACTAATGATCACCTACAAGTAATAAAATCCTTGATAGATAAAGTTATAGAATACAACAAGATATTGATATTATTATTTGCATACTTTGAGAAAACATCTGACTCAGTCCATCACAGCTCCATGTTGATATTGATCCCGTATTGATCACATGTACGCAACTCTTTGGAATGTACACATTTGGAAATTTTTTAACGGAACATAGGGTTTTTAATATAATTACTCAGATTCCCTGCTTTCAATGTAAATTTCAATACAACGTCGCGATGTTTTATGATTAATACATTTGTTCAACTGGATTGCTGCTCTTTCGCGATTTGTATTTGTATTGATCTTGCTGTGACAGTGTTGTTCCGGCTATCGATTTTTTCTGAAACTCCGTTTGTAATATTCGTAATTCTGTATTTTTGTACAGATAATAATGTTTTATTAACAACATTTTCATTTGTGGTTATTAGGTATTATTTGAATTGGTTAATATATACTTTAATACATTTATTACTTCAAATATTGTTTATAATTTTAAACTTAAAAGAGTGTAATATTACGATATATCGAAATTTACCGATTTTTGTAGAAGGTATCTACTGACTTGGCAACAGTTCCAAGGAACATCACTGGCCGAGCAAATCAAGTTTATCTTTGCTTCTCATTATAATGCCATAAGCTGAAATAAATTAAAGTAGTGTTTCTAACCGTGTATACAAACGAAGAAATAGGACAAATTTTAAAATGGTATTTTGAAGGCAACTCGTACCGTGATATTATAAATTTATTTACTTGTGCCTATGAAGATAGGCCAATACCGACACAATCAATTATTAGTCGTATTATTACAAAATTTGAATCGTCTGGTTAAAGCTGTCAAAAATGTACGCATGTACCACGAGAGAAGTAATCAACGAAGTTCGGCAAAATAGGGAAATTGATGTTTGTAGTATTGCTGAAACTAGTGATCGTTGTTCAAGCAAAACTATTGCTGAAGAAGTTGCTGTCAACTTTGACGGTATTTGATTTTAGCAAGACGGATGTCCTGTTCACAATACACGAGCAGTTCAAAATTATTTAGAAACCATTTTTGGAAATAAATTAATTTCTTCTCATGGTACGATGAAGTGGCCTCCCAGATCACCAGACTTATCCCCAAATGATTTTTTTCTTTGGGGATATTTGAAAGCAAGTGTTTATCGACATGGTTTTAAAAGAGCCCGAAATTTAACGGAATTGAGGGAAAAAATAATTCATCTTTGTGGAAGCATTAGACCGGAACTACTCAGGGATATGAGAGTATCTCTGTACAACAGATTTGGTTTTTGCTCTGCAGAAAGAGGTGGAATATTTGAACCTCTATTACGTTTAATTTTTGTTTTTAATATTATTATGTTATTTTTGGAATTGCTCTTTATTTTATTTTCAGAAATTTACTTTTTTTAGTTAAATAATATTTTTAATTACATATCTACGTAAAATTTAACGTTTTTGGCGAATTGACATGCATTCCACCTATGTTCTGCTTTTGCACTGGCGGATAGATTTAAGAATACGATGATCATGAAATTAATCAATTATAAAAAATCGCGACGTTGTATTGAAATTTACACCGACTAATTGCAAATCAGGGAATCGCAGTTACTGTAGTAAAAATTTCATGTTCCGTTAAAAAATTACAAATCTGTATATAATAGCGCATCAGCTGTATTGAGAATGTACTATGCCTGCGAACTTCTTCAGACATTCAGAGTTCTTGTACACAAGTTGACCTTAAAATTAAATCCAAAACACAATACATGACCAATCTTGTACTGGCCAAAATCATTTTAACTAATGGAACGTACAAGGAGAAAAAGTCCCTTTGCCAGGGGAAATCCCTGTAAATTTTAGCAATGACGGATAGGCTGACCTACGAACACTGGATACTCTAGGTAGCCCTTAAGGTATGCACAATAAAATCCTTTATCACGAGGTCGGATTTAAACGAGGATATTTGCTAAGAAGCCCTTTTAAAAAAAAATCGTTCAGCACTAAATTTCATTTCATGACCGTATTTAATGCTCCCCTAAACTGCCAGAGAACAGTGGGGCCCATATTTAATATAACCACATCTATTTTTCCCTAATATATCCATGGCCCATTTAATAAACAAACTATTTAAAATTATTAAAACAATTTATGTTGCCTACCTGTAGTATCCATGTATACAGAAAGTAATTTGTTAATGTCCTTAGATATGGATTTGGCCAAACTGATAAAATTATAAATGTTTGTTTCTACCTTCCGTCTGGTATTCTTTTTACCATAAAGAATTCGGCATTTCCTTACATTTGTATTTATTTTTACATGAAATTGTGTATTTTAGTTTATGTTCTTATTAATAATATTGATTTCTAATAATTTCAGGCGGAAGAAGAAGATGCAGAAAACGAAAAGGAAATCGAGAATCAAAACTTCGAAATACGTCAAAATTTGAATAAACTAGTGCGTAAGCCGGGCAAAAACTTTACCGAACTTTTCGATAACATAAAAACGTTAAAAGGTGATATCGATAAACAAGTTAAGGTGGTGAGAATGATAATAAAAGAGTCATTGCGTTTCAAAAGGCAAAATCTAGCTAATTTACTGGAAGAACACATTCGGACTATAGTTAATGATACGAAATGATCGTTTTGAGTGTCTTTTATATGTCATTAGAGATTTTCAAATTTGTATATAAATCGAATCGATCGAGTAGAATAATTTTTTATAAAATTATTTAATAAAATTACATTAATTTACAGGGTTTAATCTATTTCTTACGCATAAAGTTATTTGGTAAGTATTAAATAAAAGAGATAGGGAAGATATATGGAGGAATAATAAGGGACGGTTTATGGATAAGAAGATCAAATGATGAGTTAAAGAAATTATATAATCAACCTAACATAATAGGAGTCATAAAGGCACAGAGACTAAGATGGCGAGGTCACCTAGAAAGGATGCCAAACACGAGGACTCCAAAAAGGGTACTAAACTACAATATAACTTCAAAAAAGAGAAAAGGAAGGCCAAAAAATAGATGGAATCAGGAGGTAGAAAAAAGATATGGAAGAAATTGGACTAGACGGCCAGAAAAGAAAAATGAATAACAAGAAGGAATGGAGAAAAGTCACATATCGAGCCAGAGAAGATCTCAGTACATAAAGGAAAGCGAAAATGAAGAAAGAACAAAATTTTTTAAGCCATGGGCCTCTAAGGCCTTTAGTGCTATTGTATATATATTAAATAAAAAGGGTAAAAATGGGAAACGTTATATTAACGACTATACTCTTATCAGTCACACGTTAAAGTTATTCCTACGTATCAATGAAGTGTAAAGAAGATTAAGATGAAACGCAGTTTGGATTTAGAGATGGGTTTTGAATTACAGACGCATTTTTTGCATTGAATTTTTTGTTAGAGAAGTGTCGAGATTAACGTAAATAAAGGGTGTTTTTTTAGAGATATACAGCGTAGGTAAAAGTTTATGGTCGGTATGGTAAAATTTAACAGGTATCTAACACAGATATAAAATCATATTTTCAGCGAATAGACAAAGATAACAATCATATTTCCCCTTGGTCTCCCCTCCGTATTTATCATTGACGTCCATTGCTATTAGTGAGACGATTAGTTCCGATCAGAGATATTTTACATATCTCTGGTTGCGATACTAGAGGTGAGTCGTTGATATTTTTATCGGAACCGTTTTTCGTAAACTGTAACTAGTTGATTGTTTACCAGTAGTTTCAAATAAGCGAGTACACAAACAAACATATTGGCTATTATCGTTTATGTGTATAAGTATTGAAGTGAAAGAAACCAACGAAAGATATATTTACTATAACTTAAAAAATAAATTAAACAAAACAAATAGTACTTACTTTAATCGCGAATTAAATTGACATTTAAAAACATAAGTTTTTCCACTTTTCTTGTTAACCGTGTTCTTCTTTTATTTAAAATTAAACCAGATTTTGAACATATATGTTCGCAAGGAACATATTTTGTTACAATACTACAATATTTTATGAATATAGTGGTTAAGTTAGGATATACATGGCGATGATTTTTCCACCACTGTACTGGACTGTTCCAATCTCCGTTCGAAATTTTTTGTGGCTAATATATCATCAGACAAATACATGTCGACTTCTTTTATATCTCTCGATACAGGTGTATGTTTAGATGAGTCATGTCCAATTAATTCATCAAAAATACACCATGGACTTAAGTCATCTTTATATATTTCTTTGTTTTTGATAACTAGGTATTCTGATTAATGAATGAGTTTCGATTTACAATTGATCTGCATTTTCGATTTCAAATCTTTATTGATAGTTCGTCAAAGAATTTATTTATTATAAATATTCAATTAAGAATTATTTTTCTTAGTCAAAATTATTGTATATACATAGTACATTTTAAGAATAATAATTTTATTTTCAAAAAATGCACATTTGTAGAAGATGCAGCTTTTGTGGTCCACTTTCTGAATATTGCAATGATTGAAACTTCTCTTGACGCATTTCTATCGAATCTATCTGGCCTTTTTGACGTTAAACCTTATTCTAAATGAGATAGTATGGGTTTTGTGCAATAGAAATAGAAATATTTAAGTAAAAAAAAATGAATAAATCCCGTAAATATTCGTAGCCCAATAAATAAAACTCGTATGTACCTATATGTTTATATTTTTTTTATAAATTCTTACAAAATCGATTTCTAGAGAAAACAAAAACAAAAAATGGTAGAAAACTGCCTAAAGCTATCAAAATATTATCAATAAATTCATTTATACTACATTAATCCTAATTCAAAATAAACAAAGTGCAATCTTGTAATTTATATGTTGATATGCATATTTTGTGTTTTACAAGCGACATGATGTATATTATTCAATACTTAATTGTTTCCATCTGGCAATGGTATCTAATTTTGCGTAAGATCGAATCAGTACGGATATAATAATATATTGGCAACAACTAGTGGCATACACATCAGTTGTAGTTAATAACCCTTACTATATAGTCGTAAAATGCTTTACTTCAATAGTAAACTTTGTAAACGGTAGATGTCACTCTTATCAATCAAAATTTATATAGCTACAAGTTTGCCGCCTTATATCATGAAACGAGAAGTACAAAGGCACTTGCCAGACAGATTCCATTACATTTTTAATTATTAGTTGTGCTTAAACAAAACATTTTTCGTCCTTAAAATATGTATCGTTAGAGGTATAAATAACAAAATGCTTGAAAGTATAGTTTGATTTGTTAAGAACTAAAATTAAATCAGCAGGATATTATTATTAATATTGATATAGTTGATCCGTTGGAACTTTGGACAAATGTAACATTATTCGTCAAGTATTTTCTATATTATGTCTCTCTTTGTCACAGAACCTAAAACCATGAAATTAACCGCTTGGTCTTACACAATAAGATACAGCAATATGACGTAGAATGATGATTTATTCACCCTCTAGCAATGTCGAGTTTTGTAATTGACAGCGCCTTGCAATTAATTTTCATATCGAAATTTGCATGCCTAGAGATTATATATTTTTTAAAGAGTTATTTTAACGACTAACTGTTGCCTTAGTGTTTACATTATTCAGGTAAGTGTATATTTATAAGATAATAATAATATGTAATATTTTATAACCTATAAATTGACATTTACTAATTATGTTAATAAGTTTGTGTGAAGATCCAACGGACAACTATTTATTTGTTCCCCTTGATACATTTTACACCTATACTGGTTATCCAGAAACTTCATTTACAATAGAAAACTACAAATTGAGGAATTCATTTTAGGTCTTTGACATGTAAATCAACTTCTCCAAGAATTCCTTGTTTGAAGCTTATTGTAGCTTACAAATAAATTAATTGAATTTATCTATTTATTATTTATGGATAACTTTATAAAAATGTGCCAACTAACTTCCCTTTCCCCAGGAAGGTTTTTCTTACTATTATTTATCTTGTGTTCATTTTCGCCTGTAATAATACGCGCCCCTCAGCTAATGAAAAAGTATAAGCCAAATCAATGGTTTATTTACATTTAATAAGCTTAAGAGATACATTTAGCATGTCTGCGTTAAATTTAAAAACAATGGCATTTTTTTGTAGAAATTCGACGATTTTTCGTATGCGAATTAGGGGAAATATGCCTATAATTGCATTCTAAAGGGGAAATCTGCCTTTGATGGCATACCACTTGTAATTTGTAAATCGTTTCCTGTCGAACGATATCGACTGCATAGGCATGCGCATAGACAGTGTTTATTTGCAACGGTAAAGTTACAAACACTTATTACTTCCACAGATAAGTCTGTAACGGAAAGTGTGATTTGTTGAGTGTTAACTAATATAACACACGTTAACACAAACAGTTTTTTGCCGCTTCTAGTCTAAAGTTAAAATATCCAAAGTAAGTATTATGCAATTTTGATTAGTATTAAGCTTCAGTAAGCAATGCATTTTAACTTCTGCCATTGTGGTGCTAGAAGCTAACGCTCTGCTTTAAATCTGATGCTTACTTGCCTTTGACGGCATAGCAGATGTGTTCCAATGATGGTACAGTATGCCATCATGTGCACATGTTATATGCCATCAAAGGAAAATGAATAATAATTGCAAAAATTTCAAAAATTCAACTGTTTACTTATATTAAGGTAAAAATAGATAAACAATTAAGTTATTGATCTTTTATGATAGTCCATGTTCCAATAAATTACAGTATAAAATATTATTACTTAAAAAACATGTTTGCAATAAACTGATTTCAATTCCATCATCTTTAACACGTTCACTGCCGACCCTAACACGAACTAACGACACCAGAGGGCATATTTAAAAAAGACATCGGCAGTGAACGTTTAAAGTGCTGTTGAAGTTTTGGATAAGATAATTTATATGTCAAATTGACCTAAAATGAATCCCATATATACATGTTTGATAAGACTTAATGTATCAAAGCCTGTGATAAATTGTAACATTACCCATGAGTACAATTAAATAGTTTCTGTTATACTGAACATGGATAGGACCAAAGTAACATTATCCTCTTTTACTTCTATAAGAGGCTCTGAGTCCATAATGTTTTAAATCTAATTAATACCTGGATTAAAAAAAAATAATGTACATAAGAATATTGCTAAGTGTCTAGCAAACCCAAAGTATAATAAAAAAATCGGTTGTAGTAAGAATATGATTACACAACCATAGGACGGACACATATTTTTAGGTTACGGATTTTTTATTTCAAATGATATATCGAAGGCAAGTTTTGTTTTCTTGAACAAGTTATTATTAAACTATAATAAAAAAAATCTGTACATCTTAAAGTCACGGATTTGTTGAGATCACATTCCTAAAATGATTAGTTATTCTTTGTCTAAACAAAAATCGGACTGGACTTACAATACATCATTTGAATTTTTTGAGAAGATACATCGAAAGAAAAAATCCGCTTTTAAGGTACATATAACTGAAGGATAGAAATACAAATTACCCAGAAAATACAAATACCCGAGCGAGTTATGACAAAATATATAAAGCATAAAAAATTGTGCAAATATTTTGATCGGAAGACGATTGTCACAACAAACAACTGAACTTTCCTAATTCATTTGATTTGGTAAACAACTGCGAACACTTGAGACTGCAAAATGAAATATATGGAATCTATTACAATTTTAATACTCAAATATCTGGCTCACTTAAAAATACTATTTGGGAAATTATGATCAACTTTCGTTGTAAACTTCTAATCGTTTCATTTTTGACAACAATTGTACATATTGTCAAACGATGGTATTTCAAACTGGTGTTGTCAGCTGTCAAGAGAGTTTTTTCTTTTGTTTTATTTATTAACAAAGAATACTCATTAAATGTATCAGAAATACAATTCAATGCTAGTGAATCATCGGTTACTGGGTCAATGTGCATTGTTAATCGAGGTTTGTAGATAGTGATCTAGAATTTTTTGGTTCTAACGTTTCGTGTGCAACTGTAAGCCATTGTCAAAGGCTATGCGGCAGCGAAATTAACAAAACAAAAAAAAATAAAAATTAGATTTTCTAGCGGAAATATGGACAAGGTGATATATTGGTCATCAGTCTGAAATTGCATAGTAGCCATTTCAACTGGACCTATTTCACATACTTATATCTATACTTCTTTGTTCTATTTTATTTATAAATTTGGAATGCACTCATCATTACTCATCAATGCAATTCTGGCATGAAAATCAAACGAAACTTTTGGCGTTGAAGACTTACGTTCATGCGTCTAAGAATTGAGAAAATGGTTATAGATGACTCTGGCATAAGGCTACATATAGTCGAGATTTGGAACAGAAAATTGTGGAAACACTTTAAGAGTTTAAAATGCAAGTTTTTGTACGACAACAGTTGCAGTTGGCTTAAGAATTAAGGTTAAGAATTAAGATTGGTTGATTTAGGAAGAGAAATAAGTCCCCTTAGAGTACCTAAATCGCTTCACGTACGGCCTTTTTTGCTTTAATAAAGCAAAAAAATTTGACTAGATTTTGAAAACTTGGCAAAGTTAATACAAGGCAACTATTTTGAACCAAATGAAGTATCCCTGTGCAAAACAGTAGAATATTCACTACGAAGGGCAAAAAGCAAGTGAGAGTGTTGTCAAGCTCAAAATGTGGTCAACATTTAATTATAGTCGGTTGTGTGAATGCTGTCGAAACTTCTGTGCCCCAGCCTAATTTTCCCTAGGAAGAACATGAAACTCGAAAAATTAATGAACAATGCACCTGTAGAAACTGTAGGATTCACTCAAGAAAATGGGTGGACGCATTATAAAGTTTTCATTCAACGCATGAAGCATTTAGTCAAGTTTTCAACCACTGAAAAAAATTTTATTGCTTTTAGACAGACGTGGAAGTCATAAAAGTTATCGAAAATGCAAAATCTAATGGTATTGCTTTGTTTTGTTTCCTGTCACATTGCACCCACCTTCCATTTGATTACACTCCAAAATATTTAGGTGTTATTTTGAACCCCACGCTTTCTTCTTACATTCTTATGACAAACATCTAATAAATTTAGCAGTAAAGCTGGGCACCTGAAATGATATCATAAAAAAACTTGTTGGATCGACCTGGGGAGCAGACTACACCTTGATCTGAATTCCGACCTTGTCTTCCCCACAGCAGCGTTTCATCATGGCTCAAAAGTTCCCATGTCTGTAGAGTAGACACTTTCCTCAATCAGACGATGTCCATAATCAGCAGATAAATGAAAAGTACTCCACTTCCATGGCTCTCAGTGTTAAGTCAGTCTAAATAGAATCTAGACAGGTCACAGAAGTTGCGGAGCCAGTATGTGAATGTGGAGCAGAACGACGAGACTATGCATCAGATAGTATATAACTGTCCAGCCCAAGCATTCTAAGCTAAAGCTCATAACTTCATTACAGTTACTCATGAAGCAGTTCTTTGGATTCAAAGCATCAACACTGAATTATGATTACTTGCACTACATGTGTAATTTTCTGATTATTATATGATATGTATTTAGCTATATGTAATTGTATGTTGTTGGTTATAAGTTGTAAGATAAATAAATGAATAATAATTTACGAAATAGTTTATAGTGCGGACAATACAAAAACTATGATAACAGTTCCAGCAGTGAGAACTATGATGACAGTGGCATTCCAATTAAGATTTGAGGTTAAGTCAAATTATTACGAACAAGTAGACTCAAATTACAGTTACCTAGTACATATCACCTACTTACTCTTCTCTATTAGAGGAAATATACACATTTATATAATTCTCCACTACTTGATTAAGAATATTTAGTAAGAATTGGATGATAGAGTATTTTTAGTACATGTATTATTCAAAGTAACCATTGAGATATAAAAAATATGTCTAATAACATCTATTTCATTTTGTCTCTAGCGATGTATTTAACTTGTACTCAAAATTTTGTACTTTTAATTAGTTACCCGATACGTTCAGTCGTCTATTTGTATATAATACTAACTGGTTAGCTATCGGCCATTATGCTTTGCCATCTTAACTCGGGCATATGTATTTCCCGGGCCGTATCCTAGAATCTATCTTTTCCTGATAGTAACTCGTGATCGCTGAGCATCTGCATATCTTGTAATTGTAAAAATTTGTCTTGGTCTCTGATATGAGCGTAATTTGCAGATAGGCACATAAGGTAATGAATCTGAAAATAAAATAAAAAAATCACATTGATTGTAGGAAGTTCTATTTTTCATTTCGAATTAAATAGCAAATGATTATTTCTTTGGAACTGTAATAGTCATCAAAGATAATGAATATTGACTTACAAACTACATTAATAGAAAAATGTTCAGCGGAAAGCCACAAGACAGGCATACGGATGTGTAAGACCTAATAATCAAGATAGACTATCCATGGCTCATCTCACGACATTCGAGCTGTGACGTCTTTGAGGTGACCTAATGATGTCCTTCCGTACATAATTTTGGGAACCTAAACACCATATGACTACACCTATTTGACTGTATCCACTGACACCTATTGATCATATTCATTAGGTAGGAGAGGAAATGGGCATTAAAAAAAATTTCAAACAAAACTAAATTTTTAGTGTTTAGTTGTCACCCACATCCCGATGCAAAGCTTCAATTAAACAGAGTCCAAGTTGAGAAAGTTCCCAAAATGACATAGTATTATTTGGGAACTGTGATATCGGACCAACTATACTTTGTCTCAAAGTGACTAGTCTGTACAGGGTAAGATATGCAATGCTAACCTTATGGAAATTTCGCGAAGACTTTGCCAGTTTTATGCAGTGAGCAATGGAGTTCTCTATTGCTCACTGCAATAAAATAAAATACTATTTAGGAACTTTGAGCCCAATAGTATAGTAAATACCAGGTTATATAATTATAAAATTCCAATACACAGGTTAAGTATAACAGAAAAAAACGCTCTTTATTGCTGCATCAAATTGTTTAATAAACTGCCTGAACCTATTAAAAGGGAGGAAAGATTAAGTGTGTATAAACATCAAATATTTAAATTACTGGTAGCTCTTGAGCCATATTCTGTGGAGGACTATTTGCATATGTAACGGTTAGGAATAAGTAAATCATATTTTCGTTTGTGACACTGTTTTTTTTAAATAATTTTATGTTCACTGAATGTATATTATTTTCTAAAAATAAAGATATTGTTATGTTATGTTATGTTATTGTCTATCTTTCAAAATAAACGAAATAAACCAGGAGTTCTCAACAAGTCCTCACATATAATTTTATGTAATTTACAAATATCGTTTGCTAATAATTTTAATCTGAAGCTGAATGGCTTTACTATAGGAAGTTAATGTTTTAGAAAACTAAATTTCATATGTATGCATATTGTCTGATATAACGAGATCAGCTTATACCGAATGAATTAGTCTACCATTTCAGTTCTCGTTATAGAGGGAGTCTAGTGCATTATGCTACATTAAGAACCACAGAGTTTATTAGTGGAAGCGATCAACAGGAAAATTAATACAATAAAGGGTCAGAGGTAAAAGAATCAAAAAAATTAAAATACATGGTATACAGCCAACTGCAGGAACGTAGATTCCTTGTGAATCAGAAAAATGATGAGAATAAAATATGACACCACAGACGAACTACAATATGATTATCTGGGTCCATTAAAAAATAAAAAAATATATTTTCTTAGAATACATGGAGTTAAATAGCCTTTTAATATATTTTTTAATGACCAATGTAATATTCCATAAAATGTTTTTTGATACCAAAAGAGCTATAAAAATTACAGAGGCTGTCACAATAAATAAATTTATAATAGAAAAATTATGTATTACTCACCAGACTTAAAATTACCAGTACAGATGCTACAGTAGCAAGTATGAACATTATCTCGATTTTTTCTACATAATCTTTGCAGAAAGCTTTTACAGCACTTTCTCCTGATACTTTCAAATATTCTTGTCGCATATCCGAAGGAAACATGAAATCTGAAAATGATTGTTTTGTCAGAAAAACAATATAAGAATAATATATAACAATATAAGAAAATTAAAACTTGTATTGGATATGAAACTTACAAAACTGTGTTAAATCGATGTCATCTTGAAATGAGGCTACTCTTGGATTTTCACACATTTTCCAAAATATAGTGAATACAAATGTTGATATAACCAAAAAACAGAACATCATTATCCAAACTATTTGAAGAACGTATGTGATGCACATAAACTACAAAAAAAAGATGGAAAGTAATAATTATTTATGTTTAATATAGTATGTATTGTTTAATTACAATTAAATTTATAATTAATTACAATTAATATTATTACAATTTTTCCACAAAATGGTAGTTTCTACAATGAAAAATCTAAAAACATGATATTTTTCTTTATTATTAAAGAATTTAATTTTTATTTTGTAGGACTGTTACCACTTGTTTACAAATATCATTGTTATCAGTGGGCACAGTGTACTTTGTTCGTCCAACATACTATATTTATGATACAATAAAAAAGTATACTCACTATTGCACATGTCATTCTCCCACTAACCCTCCAACCCCATCCCCTATAAACTTTATGTCTTGTTGCACCAGTTGCTAAAAATCCTACAGTCAAAATCATTAATCCAAGTCCTCCCATACAGGCTCCAATTAAAACAAAAGTCATCTTAACAGTGTCCACCCTTAAAATGATATCAACATTTATTTCCTAATTAAAATCATAGTTTTAAATGATAATAAAGAAATATATATCTTTATTATAGGGTGGTCCTATCTAATTAACTAGTTTTTAAAAGAACAAACAGCTTACCAGAAAAGTTGCAGATTAAAAACTTCAGTATACATCAATACTGTAAGTGTAGCACCTCTGTACATAGTACCACAAAATATAACCACCCCCAAAGCACACATTATTGTTGCAATCAAGGTGGCATAAGGTATCCTGGTAAGACATTTTTCAAAACAACCTGAAACAGATGAATATGTTTAATAAAAAATTTGTGGAAACAATATTGTGTTTATTAAAGAATTTCAAGTTTTCAAGAATATTAACCACATTGACATATATTTTGGTACATTATTTTGTGACCAATCTTACTTCTGAAGGTATCTTCATCCACATCTGATTCAAGAATTGACTGCACAGAATATACACTAACTTTTGATGCTGATATTTCTCTATCTAAATTAGTTTCTAATAATCCTCTTTGTTGCATTTCAAAATTGTGGTTATATTGTCGTTGTCTAGCCATTGCAACTATTGGGCTATGATATTAATGACTAATAGTTGGATTAGAGTGATACATATTAAATCTTATCTTATTAATAACATTCAGGTAGGTGATAAGATAAAAAATGACAACAAATTCTATTTTTTTAGTACATATTCAGTTGGCTAAAATACTTACCCATTTTGAATCTGTTTGATTATTTTGTCGTTTTAAGTAATAACACTTTCTTGAATTTCAAAAATTGTTACAATATCTTGGAATTCACATAATGAATGACTAATCATTCGACAACATTTTCTAAATAATTAAGACAAACCACAAATAACATAATGAGCAACAGTGGTAGGGTAGGGTATTCAACTTTGCATAACACAGTTTTTGTTACAAATATTGCAAGATATGTCTTAACTTAACAACTATCAGTTGCACTAATAGTCTTTCTCTGTTACTATCACATCAAAGAAGAGAAAAGATTTGACACTAAAGAATATTTTTGCTTGGTTAAAGATGGGACACAAAGACTTAGAAAAGGGAAAGTTTTCATTGCCGTCTCGTAAAGAACTTGAGAAGGATAAGAATATTTCATTGTAAAATCTGGGCCGATTCAATTTTTAAATATATTTAGTTTAAAAATAATGTCAAATGTGTTAAAAAAATTAAAAGTAAAATATATTATACTTATATATCCAATTAAAAATAATAGGTATTATTGTTTTTCCTATCGTAAATGCAAAATAAGAAGTGCATTTTAATTTAAAATCTTGAAATAGTTTATATTTGTATTGATTGATAAGTATTTCTACAAATTAAATCAGTAACATAGTGCTGACTTTATTTTAAGAAATAGGTCATAGATAAATAATATAATATTAGAAAAGGTGGCCTTATTGTATACAAAAATAAATTAATAGCGTATTTACAAATATTTTAAAATAACTGCATAATTTAAAAAATGTGCAATAACATAAAGTTTTAATTTAATTCAGTGTAAATGATAGTAAATGAACATTTACGTTTAAATGTTTAAATTTATTGATTTAACTTATGCAACAAACAATACAGTAAAAAAATGTAAATTTATGTGTTCCTGTGAGAAATCTGCTTTCTCGGAGTACACGCAAGCATAGTGATGTGACGTTTAACATTGACTTTTGACAGATGACTTGTAAGAACGAAAATTAAAAGTCATACTGAGTTGTTTTTGTAAAACTTGTAGGCAGACGAACTTTCGTTTTTAGTGAATTATTAATACAATACAGTGATTTTGCAGCAAGAATAACTTATTTATTAGTTTTGTTAATTTGATAAACAATAAAATGGATAGACTTCTTCGACTAGGAGGTGGTATGCCAGGTTTAACCCAGGCACCGCCGCCTTCTGATGCTCCTGTTGTAGATACTGCCGAACAAGTATACATATCCTCCTTAGCTCTATTAAAAATGTTAAAGCACGGGCGTGCTGGAGTGCCCATGGAAGTAATGGGTCTTATGTTAGGTAAGAAAATACCGACCTATTTCATTTAGTGTTATCAATAAAAACTTTTTTATATTCCAGGAGAATTCGTGGACGACTATACCGTTCGAGTAATTGATGTATTTGCTATGCCTCAGACTGGTACCGGTGTTAGTGTAGAAGCTGTTGACCCAGTTTTTCAAGCAAAAATGCTTGACATGTTAAGACAGACTGGTAGACCAGAAATGGTTGTGGGATGGTACCATTCACATCCAGGTTTTGGATGTTGGTTGTCCGGAGTTGACATCAACACCCAACAAAGTTTTGAGGCTCTCTCAGAAAGAGCTGTAGCAGTAGTAGTTGATCCAATACAGTCAGTGAAAGGCAAAGTTGTTATTGATGCCTTTAGGTTTGTATTTAAGGTTTTATTATTGTTTATGTAGCATAGACAACTAGGGCTAAATGCAGTCAACATTTGGAATACTTTATTGGATTGTGTCTCATCTATTAACTGGTTCACTGCAGCTGGCTCTTATAAGAGCCAACACAATATTGACTCCAGTACCGACGACTCTTAAAAGAGCCTCTGTTAAATACTGTTATGTAAAAAAAAGAATTGGTTTCTTGCTAAAACCAACTGAAAATTGGTGGCAATGAATGTGTTAATATTGTCAATTATTGCAATCCATTTTATTTGACATGTTCTTATAATCTGTTGTAACAGTTTGATTAAATGTTTTTAGAACTGCATAATGAATAAACATTTCTGTAAATACTCTGATAAATTTTTTTGGTAAAACCATAACTAACATTATAACTTTTTTAGGTTAATAAATCCTAATATGATGGTATTGGGTCAAGAGCCTCGCCAAACTACATCTAACTTAGGACATCTACAGAAGCCATCAGTGCAGGCTTTGATTCATGGTCTAAATCGGCATTACTACTCCATCAGTATTAATTACAGAAAAAATGAATTGGAACAAAAAATGCTACTAAATCTCCATAAAAAATCCTGGATGGATGGTCTAACTTTAGCAGATTACTCTGAAAATTGTAGTGTCAATGAAAAGACTGTAGCTGAAATGTTAGAACTAGCCAAGAATTACAACAAGGCATTAGAGGAGGAGGAAAAAATGACTCCAGAACAACTCGCTATTAAAAATGTTGGTAAACAAGATCCTAAGAGGCATTTAGAAGAAAAGGTTGATATTTTGATGACCAATAATATTGTCCAGTGCTTGGGAGCTATGCTTGATACAGTTGTTTTTAAGTAATTGCTGGATCTCTTTTTGTACTACATTTACAACTTAATTTATAAGATATTTTTTCATTAAAAACTTTTATTATGAATTTGTGTTGTGTAACACATCAAAATAAAACTTATTATTAAGTGTTGTTTGTTTATTTTTTCTTCCTGATAGCTACAGAGAAAACAGTAACTATTCTAGAAATTATCCTATATACTTGTTTCTCTGATATCTTTATATATAATAATAGTTCAACATGCCTACTAACTCAATGTCCACAATTTCTCTTCATCTTTTCCTATCTCCATCATTATTTTCTAGTTTTTTACTTTAAAACATGTTTTTCCATTCTAAAAGATGTTGATGACATGGTTTCGCTTAAAGTTTGTGTTGAATGGTGTCTGCTGATGATGATCAGCAAAAATTCTTTTGAAATGAAGAGAACAATAGAATAAAGAAAATACAAGCCAAAGATATTACATAGGGGGGATGGAAGGTGCACATGCTCAGTCTGTTGCTTTCTCGAACAGAGAGTGATTGTGTTATACATGAATAAGTACAGTAATAGGCTTAGGTCACCTCACACTTTACCTCGTTCAGCACAATCTTCAAAACTAAAAACATTTTTCTAGTGGCAAGTAGGATATGTGTTTGAAATTAAAAATATTTTAACGGAAAATATTTAAATTAGATTAAATGGATAAAAATAAAAGATAATTTGAGTCCGCTAGATGCAAAACTCTGTATTTGCAAAAATTGTAAAAATTAAGTTTTAGCTGACAGTTATTTGTCACATGTTATAGCTATCTGCTGTTGTAGAAATTCAGCAGCAAAGTAAGGTATTTACAAAGAAAAAGGCATTAGAAATCTTGAGTCAGACGCAAAACTCTGTATTTGTCAGCCTATGCCAGTTGCATAACTGTGTAATTGCAATTGGCCAATCACTTACATTGTTTGAGTCACATGACACGTCTCATGTGCACATGTCAATTATTCCATCATTCGCCATTACCGGTTTCACTGTTTGTTATTTGAGTACTAAAAACACCAAGTTTATTGCAAATAATTAACATTATGGATCTTCATGTGCATATTAGACCTTGTGAAAAAGGAAAAGGGAGAAAACGAGTTGGACAAACAGAAAAAGGGAAACGAAATGTAATGAAACTTAAGAGGTAAGAGGTGTCTACAATTAACTAGATAGGTTTGGGACTTACCGGTTTTCCCACCTGTAACCATACAAAGAAAGTGTATTGTTGTATAGATTTAAAGATGCGAGACATTCAGCGTTTCCATAATAATCTGTATTCAACAACTGACAAAATAAAACAAGATATTTTTTTGCTGAAATTTTGTGAAGGTCAAAAGCCCAAGAGATCAGGTACAAACCTACATGGAATTTCAATTAATATTTTGTTCCTACAGTAGAGGGTGGACTTTTAAGAGTATGCAAGACAGCATTTCTTGGAATAACTCAATAACTAAGTTCTGAAAGAATAGAGCGTGTTGTAAGAACGTTTGTTATCCGGGGTGAAAATACCAAAAGAGAGAAGAGGGGGAGATACAACAAAAGGTAGATTTGATCCAATAAAATTATCTATCCAAACATTTATGGGGCGTTTGAACGGTGCAGAGAGTCATTATAATAGAGGACGATCGACTAGATTGTATTTACCGTGTGATCTGAATTTTACAAAGCTTTACAGAATGTATTGTCAACGTCATCCACATCATTCCGTAAAGTTATCATATTTCCGAACATACGTTAATAAACACTACAACATATCATTCGGCACTCCCTTAGTAGATGCTTGTTCTGCGTGTCTCAGAGCGAAGGAAATTTTGAGAAAAGAAAATTCAGAATAAGAAAAGTTAAAGGTTATAACAGAGCAGAGAGTTCATACGTTAAGAGCTAAAGCCTTTTATTCTTTGTTAAAAAATGAATCAAATCATAACATACAAATATTTTCTTTTGATTGTCAAAAAAATATTTCTTTGCCAAAGCTTCCCGACCAGGCGGCTTATTTCTCACAGCAAATAAATTTTTATAATTTCACCATCGTGGCTGGAAATTCGAAATCCCATCTTTCTTCTGCAAATGTGACGTCATATGTGTGGCTGGAGTTTGAACATCCAAAAGATTCAAATGCTGTTGCCTCTGCTGTACATGATACTCTCATAAAATTCAACTTTAAAAATCAAATCGAAAAAGTTCACCTATTTGCAGATGGATGTGGTGGACAGAACAAAAATAGCACGATGATGTCTATGATAATCTACTGGTTGGTTTATGAAGCACCTGGTCACATCAAGGAAGTGGAGTTTACGTTTCCTGTTGTTGGTCATTCCTTTTTGCCACCAGATAGGATTTTCGGTATGATAGAAAGGGAGATAAAAAAGAAGAACGTTGTAATAAACAGAAAAGAATATGAAGACATAATTGGAAAACACTCAAAGGTGCTGAGACTTGGTAAAGACTGGCAGATATCAGACTGGAGAAAGACGAGTGACGTTGTGTTAAAAAACCTTCCCAGTAGCATTTTAAATGTAATGCAACGAAACGATTTATATTTTCTAAGGACAAAGATTATATGGCTACGGTAAGGGGGGAAATATTTTATCGTTCTGACATAGGGTTCAGCAAGTCTATAATACGAAAAGGGAAAAAGCTTTCTTTATTGAAACCAAAGTTACAACAGATTGGATGTTAATTGAAAGGAGATAAATCGTCCATAGGCACTCTCCTTAGAAACCATTTTGGTGAAAATTGGAGAGACCAGCCGGATCTCAAATTTTATAAAATTATAGATACTGGCGTACAAGCAAATAATAACGAGAGTGCTGCAGAAAATGATCATACTGATGATGAGGACCCAGAGGAACTTAGAGTTTAGGAATTAATATAAATATATACATATTATAATTTGTAATACCTTTTGTACTTTGGATAAAAATAAACTTCACTAAAAGTTTACTTCCACATGCTTTCTTCCTTATTCCTAACACACTAGGTTTAGAAAACAGACTAATATAACAACCACTAATATCGTTAATGGTTGACTATTATCATGTATTTGCAAATGTTAGTTGCATAAATCTGTATTTACATAGTTCACTTGCAAAACTCGGTATTTTCAAATTTTTCTTCCTTTTCTAGCAAACCCAATAACTTTTCTAAGAAAAAAATCATTATATTTTACCTAATAAAGCATTTATCTATCACAAAAAAGTGCCATTTATTATGTCTAAGGTTTTTTGTAAAATTTATCAGATTTTTGCAAATAACTCAGTTTGACCTATACAGTAAATACAAAGTTTTGCATCTAGCGGACTCATTTCATAGTTTGTTGGTCTAGAATAGAATGCTCCAGATTTCCAATCTTATTATACCTATTCAGTCTTCATATCATGGCATCATCATTGATCCATGCATTTTCCGAGCGTAAATAAAATGGAGCTGGGCAGGCCATGTACCAAGAGCAGTTGAGAATCAGTGGACAAACAAAATTTGGAATATAGACCTCAAATATAAGCTAACAGAAACAGACGTCGACCTCCTGAAGAGATAGACTGATGACTACAAATTGGGTTCAGATGGCACAAAATTAGATGTGGAAAAGCATGTGAGAGATGTGCAGCAGTGGAGGCCAGATGATGCTGTCAGATTCAGTTCTTCCTTGTCGAATTTCTTTTCACAAAATTTCTTTTACTAGTTCGATAATCTTTTATTATAATTATCCTTCTACATATTTCAGATCAGGCTTTTATTGTTTTTTAGTTCCATTTACATGTTTTCTATCTCCTTTTCCTCAGGTATCATCTTTTCGTAAGTGTTTACTTCTTACTAAATTAAACAGTAAGATACACTTTATTGGTTTCAGTTTAAAAAAATACAAAAGTATTCAATATCGATATATTTGGCCTTAATTGCATCATAAATAATTACTTAAATACAATTTACATAAAAATCAATAACAATGGTAAAAATTGCGTATTAATAAAGTACTCAATTAAAAACCTACACCTAGGTAGTGGCTGTTCATAATTTTAAGGAACCGACAGAGACAACTGTAAATTTAAAACTAAAAAATCATTTAGGGTACAAAGCACTATAGTGATGTGACAAAGTAGATAGTGAAAAGTAATTAAAGGTCATTATTTTCAGTATACCATAATTTTCTACCAATAGTAGAATAAATTAAAACCTTTATTTTTTAGACAAGGTCACATTCTGTTACATATTGTGGAGGAATCTTACAACAATCACTAAAATTTTCATTCTTTCCACTTTTTATCTTATTTTCCATTTTTCTCACTGATTGTCACGATATAGGACATCAAGATGATTATAGACCTTCATTTTTATGTTACTAATTTGTTGATAGCCAGGCAGTTCGTACTGTAAATAAATTTTCAATATTTTTTCATAGTTATGTCTTAAATATGTACAATATTTATATATAACACATCTGAGTTAACTTTAGATTTCGTAACTATGGGTTTTTACAGGGTTGGGTAGTTAACCCAACGCCAAACCCCCCTTTCGGAGGGCCATATTTGGTGGCATCTGTGAAAATGGTGTTTGGAGGAGGAGATACAATTACGAGGTATACCACAGATATAAACAAATATTTGGTAGGAAAGACGTAGTATCTCTTATAAGAATAGGAAGACTAAGATGGGCAGGACATCTAGCAAGATCACAGCAGAACAACCCTCCTAGAAGAATCCTTATGTCACAACCCGTGGGAAGTAGAAAAAGGGGTAGGCCAAAACTCAGATGGAAGGATGGTGTAGATGAGGATGGTAGAAAGATAGGCGCAGCAAACTGGCAATGGATAGGACTGCCTGGCGTAATAGACTTGGGAAGGTCGAGGCTCTTTCATAGGGCTGTAGCACCATTGATGATGATGACATCTGAGTTAAGCAGTACATATCAAATTAGCATTAGCAAGAAAAAGTAATGGATTGGGACGATGAAGTTTATCGATGAATCTCGTATTGTTTATACTATTAGTACTAAACATTGCTGTCTGTAATTAGTGTTGTCGCCTAAGAAACTGTGTAAAGGATAGAACATTTATAGGTAATATTTAGACAATACTTTAGCCAAAACCAACAATTAACTCACAACAACGATCAAAAGAATGGAAATCAAATAATAAAACCTACTTCTTGGTGGCTTAGATCGTGGTTTACCTCAGCTTTGTCGCATAGTAATCGACAATTAGTTGGTTTTTTTTGCGTTCTATATTATTATGAATGTCTTTACATTTCCATACCAAGAGAAACTTATTTAAAATCGACTAAAGAGGTAAGAGGTTACAATATCACTATCTTCAAAATTGCAGCGACTAAGTTTTCAGAAACGATGGTGATGTTTCAGTATCGGTGTGAGTCTTCCAATGAAGTAGGAAATACTTAATAAAAAATTAAAGCAAAGCCACTTGCAGACCCTTTTAGTGTTCAGTGTGAGCAGTATGCAGTCCAGTGAACGCAGTAGTATATTTAAGGTGAATATGGGTAGTGCTGTGAGTTATACAGAAGGTGAGAGATAGAGTGATAAAAAGTGTTTTTATAGAAAGAGAAGAAATTAGCATGTGGCGAAATCAATACTTACAAAAAAGACAAGAATATGGTCGTGAAGAAAAGTATATATTTTCAAAATTGACATAAGTTTTCTTTAACTTCAATAAACTTTACCCCTTTTAAAAAGATAAATCCATTGCCTATTGCTATACAGGAAGATTAAGTTTTAAAATTCACTTCAAAAACACGAAGAATACCGCACAGTTAATAAATTATAGATAAGTAGCAATTACTTACAGATTCGTTGGTTTCAATTTGGAAAAAAATTGATGTATCACAATTATTTTATAAAAATTTACAGTTGCCTCTGTTTCTAGGACTAAAATAGTACTAATACTGTTAAATTAATTTGTTACATGACTTTTTAAATGTGATAATAATGGGAAAGAAAATCTGTAACCTAGTAATTTTCACCTGGAGATATATCAGAAAAAGGTACAAAATACGAGACCTCTAGACGAAACGAAATCTCTCTTATGAGTGGTGTAAATTGTGCAAACCATCGAGAATAATCTAAATTAAGCAGCTAGCTCCCAGACGAAAACTAATGAGTGTTTTTGAATCGCTACTAATCGGAAAGTATACCATAATGCAATAAACTCAACAAAAACATTGCCTTCAGACTTGAATATTGATTTCTTTTCTATATGTTCTGTTCTGACTTCCATTAAAGCTACATAATTCAATCTTATAAAGCACCCTGCTTATGACACATATTCCTTTTTTTCTGGTTCTCTATCGTCTTAATGCCTTCCAGTAGGAATCAAAGTATTAGTATAATTTAAACATAAGACCGTTTACTTCACACATAGGCTTACTTATTCATTTGCGAATTCCAATTCAAAGATGCAGATATATTTAAAAATATTCTCTGATTAAAGGGACTTTTACTTTCTAAATTTTCCAAAACATCCATTCCCTAGTATCATAGAAATATTGTTCCAACATTTTAATAAGAGATTCGAAATATAAACAAAGTTATAATATTTATAACAGTACGCACCTGAGCTAAAACTCGTTTGTATATAAGACTGGACGCCCTGCTTCACCTGTGCACCTGCAACTCGACAGTTGTTTTTGAAAACTTAGAAAATGAGCACGTGTTTTACATTATTGAAATTGATTGTTTTGAACATCGGAAAAATGCCTCGTTCTGGTCAATCTGGCCATCGAGTCGGCTGAAACATTTATAAAATACTCAAAATTGTTGAATTTCAAGATTATAAAAAATATAAGAATTTTATCGAAGTAATTTAGTTGTAGGAAGCCATTTGATTATCAATCAAGTTTGAATCAGATGATTAACGATACTAGTTGAAGTTGATGGACGGAAAGTAAGTGTGCTACATTTTAGATATGGTAGAGGAATTAGACAAAGAAAGAAAGCCTTTTAGATATAAAAGTTGACAATCTTTCTACTTATCAGTAAGATAACGTAGAGTAAAACAGGAAGAAGGGTCGAAAACAAATCTAGGTATACATACTACACAGAATCATATTAGAAAATCCCATGAAAAAATTAAAGAAAACTTACTAACATCTATTAATCAGATAAGTACCTATTCATGAAAATCCGATAGTTTTTAAGAAAAAAATTGGTATAAACACTATCACCCTGCAATAGAAATGAAAATTAGGATATTCCTAGCACTGAAGAATGTACAAAGGGTTTGATCTAAAACGATTTCCAAACCAAAAACACCAAGTCAGATTTTCTTTCCTGTAGAATTGATTCAAACACAAAAATTGCTTCTAAATATAAAATGACAGAAGCAAATCAGTGTCTAATGACTAATTTCTTATACAATGTTAATATCGACATGAGCAATAAATATAAATACAAAAAGAAAGAATAATTGCATTAAATACATATATATTTTACATGTTTTAACATGGATTGTACAATTACGTCACAATTCAGTTTTTCTTCTTTAGGTATGTCGAAGAAGACTATGAATTAGGCCAGTACGAGTGGTTTATATATTTGAACATAACGCCGTACCTTAGAATATAATTATGTAAAATAAAAAAGCGACAAAAGTCAGCATGTCTCTTATATAGTTTGAACACATTCTTAAAATTACGTATTTGAAAATCAGCGATGTAAAGTGGTCAACTTTTGGTATGGATTTTTAAGTGAACGCGATTTTTATGGGCGAATTTTTTAATTGTGATGTCATTGGCATAAGTCGGTTAAAAAAACGACATTTTATCAATATCTTACATTGCCCATTGACGATCAGATTCTTCGGTTGTAGAAACTATATCCTTCTACAGTTTTTTTTCTACAATGACAGTTCTAGGTTTAAGTTAGGTTAGGTTAGGTTAGGTCAAGTTATCATTGCAAATCAAGGTCACGTTCTTATAAGCAAAAATAGCAAAATTATTGTTTTATAATTACTCCCAACGAAATATACAGATTACCATATGCCATACCAAAAAATGAGCGCTCCGATGGCAGGCACCAATTTCATGTCACGTGAACTTACATATCGTTCCTTTTGTTTTGCCATTTTGCATACTAACCGACTTAGTAATATATTTAAATTAATTTATTGAGGAATACGAAAACATTATACACATACATTATACGAGAACATAATAACATTTTGCGCTAGGCCGAATTCACGTCTTCAAGGATCAATAAAAATAATTAAATTAATTTATCACCAGATTCTTGTACAAAAAATTTGTCATCTCTTACTAAAGTTACGTGCTTATTAAAAATATGAATAACATTTATAAATTCCATTTCCGCTTCTGCTGGTAGACACTCTATGAAACACTATACGCATACAAAAATATCACCCTTTTTTACTTTATGCTTACCTACAATATATAAAAATAAATAAAACAGTTTAGAATGTTAAAAGTTACAAATAAAATTATATTTATTAAAATCTTCAATGCTCCTGCGACGTTTTAATAGGAGTTAGTTTTAATCCCTTAGCAAGCATCTGTTCTTCTAGGTCTCTGTCTTCATTTGAATATCTGTAAAATTCACATTTTATTAGTCAGCAACCAAACTGAAGTTAAGGGAGTGCAATCTTAAAAGCAGGAAAATAATGTATCCACCATCAAGACAATATCTTAACTCTTTACCGCATGAATTTTTGTTTTTTGTCAAAAATAAATTCTCAGACAAGAATTTTAATTCTATTTTTACGTAAAAATATTGAAAAAAATCTAGCTACGAGGAAAACTTTATTGACAAAAAAAAATTTTTGGTGCCAAATATGGAACATCACGCAACAATGTAATAATAACACTTTGGCTACTAGCTATAAATTTGAAGTTTTTTGTCATAAACTGAAACTATATTTTGGTAAAATTCACAATATTTAATACTAAAAACATGTAAATATCAACATTTAGGTATTTTTTTGAAAAAAAATCATGTGTAAGGGCCGTGTCAAAAAATGGTACACACAGTTTGTGGCAGAAATAAATGCGTAATTATCTTCTTAGAAACTATGTGTACTATTTTTTGACACAATGTTCATTTTTTTGCTTGACAGTAATGAGTGTCAAAAAAGCAGTTGGTACACAAAAACTTATCACTGCATGCTAGACAAGATGTTTTAACACGTTTTGTTTCTTTTATAGCAAAGTTACGTCCATTTCTAGCACTATTATTTTTATAACATCTTGTACAACGACCTCTCTGTTCCACTTCGGAAAGTTTGTGATTCCTTTCTTGAAAATCTTTCTCTCAAAAATTTCTGAGGCGATTTCTTCTCTAAATTTAGTGATACTTATCTTTTTGTTTGTTATAGCCTCGTATGCAGTATGTGCATTTATAATAGATGTGTTAACCAAAAGTTCAATTGAAACTTTCCTATACCACTTAATACCCCTACGCATTGCTGATGAATATGATGCTTTTTGATCAGAGACGTCTATAAATGATTTCACATTATTATACTGCACGATTGTGGAAGGCTTTCTCACGACACCCCTTTTTGTTGGCACGCCCACTATTTCAGGCACAGACTCCGTAGTGAGAAACATGACATCTCTTTTGTCTTTCCATATTCCAATTATGATTTTACTGTTACTCTGTCTCATGACTAATTCACCCCTTTTTAATTTAGCCTCACTTACTACTTTTGGATTATGCTTCCTGTGTTTTCTCAGTGTGCCTATTAAATGTGTATCTTTGTTTAGAAGTTCGTGTGCTAAATTCACGCTAGTGTAGTAATTATCTGTGCACAAAACGCGACCTGAATGTAAAAGTGGTTCCATAAGCTGTAGCACCACTTTTGTACCAATTGGCTTTTCATTAGGTGTTTGCTCTTTTCCTGTATAAATTTTAAAATTGTATGTGTAACCTTTCACTCCACATAGTTTAAATAATTTCACACCGTATTGTGACGCTTCCCGGTATATATTGGCGAAAGCTCAGTCGTCCTCGAAAAGGAATCATCGTCTCATCTATACACATATTCTTGTCAGGAGTATATGCTGATTGGAACTTCTTGATTAACAAATTTTGCAAGGGAAGGAATTTTTTGAGCCTATCATCTGAGGAAATTTCGTTGTTTGAGAAGTGCAAATTGGACAAAAGAAGCTCAAACCTTATCCTGGACATGTAAACAAATTTTCCAATTTCATTTTTGCACAGCATATTGGTGCTAAAATAATCTTCAAAGTGGGTTTACGATCAAAACCCATCCATATTAGAAGACCTAAGAAAACAAAAATTTCGGATTGATTTGTGTTTCTCCATTGTCCCAATAATGCTGTTTTTGTTAATGTTTCATTTGTAATTCCTGATACTATTTTCTGTTCAGCATATCGGTTGGTTTCCTCGGCAATAAGTGATAAGATATCGTTGTCAATAAAGAATCCTGAATCTTCCGTGAAAGTAAATGTGTTCAAATTACCTACAAAATTATAAACTCAAAACTATAAAAGTGAATACTAATTTATATATTACCTGCACAATTATTTCAAATGACATTAGGATTAGGATTATTTAAAAAATTATCAGGTTCAGACTCGTTGTTGAGAGATTCTAGATCAGATTCGAATTCTAACTCTTGCCCATCACTGTTAATTTCTAAATTAGAGGAAGAAGAACACGAATCTTGATAATTTGGATCATCTATATCCATAGCATCATCATCATCATCTTCACTAATAAACTCATACTCCATTTCACTCAGATTCTCGGCTATTTCACGTAGTTCAGCATCACTTAATTTTTTATTTGACATTTTAAGTACTAATTTTAGAACCGTAAACACACAAGACTAATATTGCACAAACAACAAGTTTCTGCAAGTCAGAAAATGGCCATAATATGCCATCTGCTGAAGGAGTCTCAAACTGCTCCGCCATAATTTTAAAAAATCGGTCATAGTACAGCCATCTGTTGATTAAGTCCCGAACTGCTTCGCCAGAATTTAGCAGTAAACTGTAGGAACCTATATACGCATTTAAAACCATCAGAACTGTGTTCACCAAATGTACACACAGCTTGAAACATTACCATTTCATGTGACCAAATTTGGCACACGCAGTTTCTGGTAAACATCGACTGTGTACCAGAAATGGTACACACAGTAGCCAAAGTGTTAAAGTCAAACTATTGTGAAGCTACAGTATACACTATATAGTATGAAACTGCAAATAACAGCTTCTTTCTTTATTAATACACAACAGTCTTACTCCTCTCTGTATATATATATTTTCGGACTTTTGTTCTTCTATCTTTATATTGGCCTTTTGATTCCAATACAGATTGATAATGATTCGTAAGTCACGTCTGTCTATATCTTTGTTTCTCAGTACTTCTATTAGTTATTCATGTCGGATCCTATCGAATGCCTTCTGTTTCATCGACTTCTCGAAGGCATTCGACAGGGTCCGACATGAATAACTAATAGAAGTACTAAAAGGATATCATCATCTGAGGATGTGGTAGAAATAACAGTTTCATTGGTAAATTTTCACACTCCTCATTGTCATTATCTTGACACAATATTATCTCATTTGTGCCGTCTTCATCGGAGAGATCTGATTCTTCACTATTAGTACTATTTAAAATTTTAACTGCATTCATTGTACCATAAAAGAGTTTGGGATCCATATCTACAAAAACAATCAATGATTCCATAACTTCATAGTGTGCCATATATAGCACAAACCCTTTTTGGGGTTTTCGAGAGACTTTCAACATTCTTAATTTTTAGTACTTACCTAAGCAGATACAGTGCGTTAAGTTTTTGATTAGGTATTGCACACTATACGGAGCGCTAAAATCGGCAACGTTGCAAATGTTCGTTCTCCGACCCGAGACTATCTGTGCACCGACAGAAAATCATATTTTAGTTTAGTAACTCACAACAACGTTTGGGATGTACTTCTCATGTTTCATTACGTATAGCCGATTTTAATAGTAGGAAATTCGATAAAAATGCACTGACCTAATCGGTGCATTGTTATCGATTTTTATTAATGTGAAAATTTTTTTGTGGTTGAATTAAAAAATAAAAGCGTATTTCTTTAAAAAGATAAAATAAAAAATATACTTTATTGAAAATTAAAATATTATTCCTAATAAAATAAAAATAGTTCAAATGGTTCAAATGGTTGACCTTCTACGGCTGAACAGTACCCCAATCTGTCATAAAAACTTCTGCGAACAGATGAAAGAGTTTCTGCTGTAACAGAATTGGAGACTTCTCTTATTCGATTTTTTAATTCATCCAAATTTTGGGCTCTTGCCTCAGGATGATCGTAGATAATGCTTTTTAAATGTCCCCAAAAAAAGAAGTCCATGGGTGTAAGATCTGGAGATCGCGCAGGCCACTTAATATCGCCTGCTTCACTGATAACTCGATTCGGGAAAGTATTGTTTAAATACTCCCTAAAAATTCGAGCGTTGTGAACTGAACATCCGTCTTGATGAAACCAAACATTCTCCAGATTTACATCAGGAAGATTGAGAATAGCGGGAAGAACATGATTCTGTAACAAATCGAGGTATACTCGACTATTCAAGTTGCCCTCAATAACAAATGGACCTATTATGTGGTCTCCTAAAATGCCAGTCCAGACGTTAACTTTTTGAGGACGTTGAGTTCGGTAAACAACACTTATGTGCTAGTTTTCCCGCGCCCAATACCTCGTAATGGAAGGATTGTGTCTCCCTACTAACGAAACAGAAGATTCATCAGTGAATAAAATTACTATTTCACAAAACTCCATTCTTCGAAAGTAATCGTCTGGATAAAGCTGCTGCGTTTTCGAATATTTAAAATTCTTGTAACTATGCTTTTTCCATACTTTCGTTACAGTAACATTGCTAACATCTAACTCTCTAGCAACGCTTCTACTTGAACGTGTTGAATCTACCTCGATTGTTGCACAAATTTGTGTATCCCGGTATTCTCTTTCCTCAACTTTTTCTGGTAACACTTCTTGAGCGTGACATTTTCTGCAATTTTTGAGGCAATAACAACTCTCAAAATTTTTAACAATATTATAAATTGACTGTACACAAGGAATTGGTCTTCCTTCAAAAAACACAGAAAATAAATCTACACACTGTTGCGCAGAATTGCCACTATAAAACCATTTTATTATTTGAGCTTTTTCCGCGGCCAAATAAACAGACATGTTTACAAAAATAAATTAAAACTCTACGCTGTTATACCTTTAAACAACCACGGTATAATGACAATATGACAAATTTCAAATTTGCCGACGGGCGACGAGCAACGACGAGTCAACGAAGCAGATATGTAGTGGGAAGTCGACGACGCGCAGTGTTGCCATTTATAGAGTGTATACCTAATCCAAAACTTAACGCACTGTATCTAATATCACAATACAATAAATTTCAATTTTTTCTCGCCATAAAAAAGTTTTTACTATGAAAAATAACCTCTAACTTCAATCACTGTTTCGCGTGGTTCAGAATTTCAACAATAATGAACTTGAAACTGTGCACGGCTGAATATCTCGCCATCAAAATTATGCCGCATATCACGCATACACTATTAGCACGTGTCAGATATGGGCTGCCATGCAGTTAAGACAAAAATTGAGTTGAAACATTAAATTTTTTTTTTTGGTTTGTGCCATTTATGGCACATGATGCGGTAAAGGGTTAAATTGAGTTAAACATACAGGGTGCGGCATTAGTGCGAGGGAGTCTAATTACTCATTTGTTTTTAAGGTATGACATTTGTTTTTTTTTACTCAGAAAAAAAAAACGATATCAATCAGTTCCTCCGTAGAAAAATGTATGTTAGTAACAGTAAGAAAGCAACAGGAACTATAAACATAGTCTAGTGTCAAACTTTTATAGTCAAAGGCATAGCCAACTAGGTAGGGTATTTCTAAATCATAGGTTATTACTAAATCAAAATAAAAGCTGGCAACTGAAAGCAAAAATGTTTTGAAGCTTTGTTCAAATTAAGCACAGGCATTTGCAAATAATAAGTCTACTACCTTTACCTTCCAACAAATATTACATACATAAGAGGCAAGCAACTTATGGCCAACACAGTAAAGACATCACTAAAAAATTAAAACAGTCCCATAATTATGCCTTTAGTAAAATTTAGTATATTTCAAAAACTGTACTGTGTGATGGTTATATTAATTTTTCAGAAAACATGACATTATTGTAAACCGGACCTGTACGCCAACTAGAACATGTGTATACCTCCCGAATCTTCGGTTAGTCATCGATACATTCATTCAAGAAACCATAAGCTTCTTGTATGGTTTGTATGCGTATGAAAGGAGCGCGTTTTTTATTTTTATGCTGCCTAAATGCAGCTAGGTCACCGTGTACAACGAGCTAGTCAAAGATGTAATAATATACAACACTGCACTTGAGACAGTAGACGAGTATGTATACCTGGGACAATTATTACAAAAATCTGGGTTCTTACTCCCATAAATCAACACAAGAATGAAACTGGCTTGTGCATCTTTTGGTAAATATACAGTTATATTCAAATTGGGAATGCCACTCTACCTGAAAAAAAAGCACGACCTGTGTATACTATCAATCATGACATAAGGCTGCAAAAATGGGACATTAAAGAAAGACATAATAGCGAAAATCAAATTAACTTAAAGGTCACAGAATTATTGGCAGAAATCTTAAAAATGGCAGTGAGCGGGAAATTTAGCGAGAAGAACTGACAATAGATGGTCCGCTAGAATTACACTGTGGTATCCAATAGGCGCCAAGAGACCAAGAATGCGTCCAAATTTAAGATGGGACTGTGACATAAAGAGCCATGTATTTTCGGTAAGCCATACAAGCGTGGTGTGACTGCTTCGCTGTAGCATATGCTTGGCTTTGTATCCTCTGGTAGCCAAGAATATGTAACAGCAAAGCAGTCCAACCACACTTGTATGGTTTACCGAAAATACACAAAGACGATGTACCTCTACGCCCTATTGTGAGCTTCATAAGGTCTCCGTCTTACAGCCTTGCTCAATATCTGGCCGATAATTTACAACCACACATAGGAAAAAACGATGCCTTTGTAAAAGACTTCCGCCTATTTTATCGAGAAGATCAAAAGAGTAACTTTACAGGAACCTGACAGTCTTGTTAGCTGTGATGTTGTTTCCCTATTTACAAGAGTTCCCCTAGAAGATGTTCTGAATTTAATTGAGAGACTAGTTTCCAAGGATATGGTGAAATTATACCGTATTTGCTTCACCACCTACTTTTCATGGGAAGACCAGATTTATGAATCGGTAGATGGAGTAGCAATGGGAAGCCCACTAAGCTCGGTCGTAGCCAACCATGGAGCATCTAGAGAAGAGGGTAATGGAGTCAGCATACAAGCCAAGGGTATGGTTTAGATACGTCCATGACACTTTTGTGATTTGGGGCTACGGAGTAGAAAAACTTCCTGTCTTATATAAACACACTACATCCAAATATTCAATTTACGATGGAAACAGAGAAAGATCAACAACTAGCGTTCCTATTCTATATATTTCTACATATTTTCCAAGTATGGAGAATATCATTGCCTACATTTTTCTGAAGTTTGTTGGATATTCTATACTATAATGGTATAGAAACTATACTATTCGCACTAAACACTCACCCACAAAGTCTCGACCAATTTGTGACACATTTTGTATTTTCTGAAAAATAAATTTTTCAATACAGTACAGCTTTAGAAATATATGAAAATCACGTAAACGCTTCCGCCTAAATTCTCCATAATTTATAAATGGCTTACCTCTTACTAGAAAGTAAATTGCTTATACTAAAAGTCTACTGAGAATAAAATAACGACCCAAAATAAATAAGATAGAACTAAAATAAAGCATGCTGTAGTAATAAGTTGCTTTGCATCTACTATGTCTGATGGGTTAATATCTGAAGAGAACCTTAATCTGTCTTCTTCGACCTCTGATATAAGAGAATCTCGTTTTTCAACTATTTCTATCATTTCGTTAATGATACTTTCTTCGGTCTCGACGTCCTCCTTAGTTTTTGGCTTATCTGAAATAAAAAAATTAATCAAACAAAGTCTTTATATAAATGACTAATTTTAACTAGCATGAACAGTCTTTAGTGTAATGGTTGCATTTTAGTCATTATATAGAGTTAATGTTAAGGCTAATTTTGATTATTATATTATTCTTATAATTTCCTTTTCATTACAATAAAATATATTATAACGATATAGTATTCACATCAATTTCCAAAAGGACTAATTTTTAACCAAATATGTATCAGTTAACAAGGAGTTTATTTTGAGGCATCTCTGGCATTGGTTCTGCAAAATATAGACGTTAAACGTTGCAAACGTAACAACGGTTAAAAATTCACTTACTGACCAGTATATCCGGCTCGAAGGACCAATTGTGAATAAGCAATGTCTTAAAAAGAAAGTATGGGACTGTTACATACAATACTTTTATTTTTTACTTTACCTGCCCAAGGTGAAGCCGACATTTTTTTTTTGATTCAGCAATTGTAGCAAAAGATATTAAGAATAAATATAACATAATGAATACTCACCATTTTCTATTCTTTCTCTAAGTTCATGTTGCAGCCTCGCGTGTCGATCTTCCAGTTCTAGCTCTTGTGCCCTCACAGTGAGTTCCCTTTCGTATCGCCGCAGTTCCGTGCGATCTCTCATCAAGTCAAACCATTCTTGTAATAAATCCGCTTCGTCCTTAGACGGATCGAAACTGGCCTCTCCTCTTAATGATTTTTCTACTAATACGCCTCTATCTTCTAGCTCTTTCATCTTAACTTCAGTCTCTTCTAACTTTCGTTGTAATTCTTGAGCCATACGATGTCTACAAAAATTTATGTATATTACTTGGAAATAATCTTTGGCTAAATATTGAGTTACAGCAAACGTTAATTCTGATAAGGTGCGTGAAATGTGCTGTTCTCTTGGTATTCATTCAGTGGCATATCTTTGAGGTATTGATTACTACCAATACCTCAAAGATACGCCACTAAAGCCACACAAGTCTTAGTGCTATTATTCAGACATACTTTCAGCTGCCATTGTTTTATTGTCACATAATACTTAACCAAAGTCACTGCAATGAGCCCTTTTAAAGTTTGCTCGAAGAACTACACCACAATTTGCGTTTGCTGTAACTTGAAAGTTTTAATATAAAAAAGTATAGTTTACCTTTTGAGCTGAGCTTGTCGACTAACTCTTCGAGATTTACTTGATCGTCGTCCAGCCATGCTTCCAGTTGACATACCTGTGAGATCTATGGTGTCACACGAGCTGTCGTGTTTCCCTTGTTTTTCTTCGCCATCAGAACTTTCATCTATAAGAGAACATGCAATTAAATATTGTCAATATTTCCTAAAAAGATGTACTGTGTCAAAACTACACCTAGTTTACCCTTATGGTTATTGTTGCTAATATTCTGCTAAGACTTGTTATTTTCGTATGATTAAAAATAATGCCTCAATAGAAAAACACATTTTTCATTTGCACAAAACATCTACCAAAACAACAAAATGGAAGTCAGAATAGATGGACAACTTACAGTATCTATAGAAATAGGCAGCGGAATAAGACAAGGGGATTCATTGAGCCCCATGCTCTTCAATTTGATTATGGATGAAATCATCAAAACCGTTAACAAAGGAACAGGATACAGAATGGGAAACAAAGAAATCAAAATACTCTGTTAAGCAGACGATGCAATATTGATAGCCTAAGATGAAGATAGTCTGCAAAGACTGGTCCACAGATTTAACATAAGAGCAAAAGAATTCAATATGACAATCTCAACTCAGAATGGAAATTACACTGTCTAGCTATGGAGACCTAGACCAAGAAGGGAGAGATCAAGTACAAAAAGCAAATAGACTGACAGTATGCCTTAATAACACTATATGGCGAAACAGACACATTACCACTGAGATGAAGTCAAGAATTTATAAAGCCAGTGTAAGACCAATAATGACATATGCCTCAGAAACAAGACCCGACTCAGCCACAACGCAAATACTTCTGGAAATGGAAGAGATGAGAGTACTGAGAAGAATTACAGAATAAATGTACCTTTCGGTGTTGGACCGTTTATAATACAATTCATTAAATTACAATATTTTATAATCTTCTGAGGTGTCCAAACTCTTAACGAACTTTCTCCATTACTTCCTATAGGATGACACCTGTGTTGCTTCCTGCCGAGTCTTACCCTTACTCTGCAGTATCTGCGAGATGTCACTGTTCCATTCTTTAATGGGTTTTGCTCTTCTGTTCTTCCCTATTGGTTTGGCGTCCCACACTCTTTTTACTTGTCTATTATTGTCCACCCGGGTTAGATGTCCGAACCATGCCAATTTTTTCTCCTTGATTGAGTCGAGTATCGGTTTGATTTTGAGTCTTTCTCTTATTTCTTTATTTCTGATTGTATCAGTTCTTTTTACACCGATCGTTCTTCTGAGGTATTTCATCTCTGCTGCCTGAATTCTGTTCTGATGTCTTTTGTTTAATATCTAATTTTTTGCTCCATATGCCACTGTAGGTCTATATATTGTTTTGTATATTGTCATCTTGGTCTTTGATGATATTTCTTTGTTATTCAGGAATCTTTTATTTAGTGTTTGGAATAGTTTTCCTGTGTTTTCCATTCTGTTGTTAATATCGTTCTCGATGTCTCCTTTGTTGTTGATTACTGTTCCTAAGTATTTGTATGAATTTCTCTGTATTATTTTTTGTTGATCTATCATTATTTCTATTTGATCTTCCGTCCGCTGTTTCCTTGATATTTTCATTATCTGAGTCTTCTCTTTATTTACGTTTAAGTTGTATTTGCTTGCTTCTACGTTCCAATTCTCTAAGTTGTATTTCAGTTTTTCTGCGGTTTCCGCAATTAATACTATGTCATCTGCAAATATACACATCTCAGCGTTTATCATTTGCTTTCTGTTCCAACCGATGCACTATTTCTTGAATGTTTTCTTACATTCTTTGACTGTCTCATTTATTATATTTATGAATAGCACTGAACTCAGACTTCCCCCTTGTCTAACTCTTTGTTATTTCAAATGGTTCTGACTGTATATTTAACATTCTTACTGTATTTGTTGTTTTCATGTATATACTCTTTGTTGCTTCCATCAGTTCTTCATTTAATTGCTTCTTCTTTAGACTTTCCCATATATCTTTTCTTTCTCTTTTCCATGTCTATAAAGTTCAGATATATTTCTCTAATTTTCTTTAAGGCTTTTTCTATTACTTGTTGCATGGTGAATATATGGTCTTGTGTATTGTGTCCTTTCCTGAATGCACTTTGTACGTCCTCTAATTTATGTTCTATTTATTTTCTGATTTTCTTTTCTATTATGGTTTCGTATACTTTTGCTGCTATACATAGTAGTGATATACCTCTATAGTTCTTACAGTCTCTTGTGTTTCCTTTCTTGTATATAGGTATAATTACTGCATTTGTCCATTCTCTGGGTATTACTTTTCTCCTCCATATTAGGTTATATATGTATAACAATTTTTCTTTTGCTTTTACTCCTATATATTTCATTATTTCTGGTGCTACTTCATCGCTTCCTGGTGCTTTTCCAATCTTTCTCTTTCTTATTGCTTCTTTCAGTTCTTCTTTTTCTATAGTGTCTGTATTTTCCATGTTTCTCATGGATACTCTCTTGATGTGGCTTTCCTTCTCCATTGTATTCGCTTGATTTCCATTAATTTATAAATTAATGGACACAAAATTAAAAAAAAAGAATTGAATAACCACATAAGTAGAATAGAGGAGACCCGTGTCGTCAAAATAGCAAGAGATAAGTCACCAATCGACAAAAGAAGTATCGGACAATCGCGCAAAAGATGTAGTGACAACCTTCCATAGAAGTATTAATCCGCCAATTAACAAGCAGAATTGCTTATAAAGAGAAAGAAGAAGAAGATGAAAGAGTATCAAGAAAGTTATTAATACAACTTGAGTAAGCAATTCCACAGCTTTCTAATTATTCTACTTACCTGTCTTTCTTGTATAATTCACTGGCAAAGGTGGCACTGGTGGTGGTGATGCGTTTCTGTCGATGAAACTTTCTGATAAACATTTCCTTTGAGCTGCTTCACGAGCCAAATGAGCCTTAAAAAGTAAGTAAACTATTATTTAGTGTGTCAAAATTAATTATAAATCATAATACATCATATAGTTTACTTTCATGTAGTAAAAGTAGCTAAAAAATTGGTTATGGTTATTGAATTTAATAGGTTAATTACAGTGATATAATGAACACTATTATCAGATTGCACTTACTGAATAGTGATAATGAATTGAACAATGATGGCAATTCTACTAAATTCTCCTAAAACGGAAGTACGTATATTTTGGCAATAATATTACATAATAGAAAATAAATAATAGAAAAATTCGGATAATTCACAAATGTATCATCAGATCTAATATCAAAAAAATATAAACATAAGAAGAAATGGATAAGAAAATCGGTTTCGGATATTTGAACAAAGATTAGTGGTAGATGCTCAAACACAATAAATTAAATATTCCATAAAAACAATTTAGTTATTGTTATGAACTTGTACATATTCCCTATGACAAATAAATTTCTAAAAATAAAACAGTGCAAGCGTATCTACAAATAAAATAATTTCGTAATATTATATACTATAAATACAGGTCGAGCATTCTATCTGTTCGCCTGAGTTTCTTCTGAATTCCTAGATACAAAAATGTGCTGTGTATAGGGGCGGGCAAATATTCTTAGATTCCACTTAACACTGAGCAGCAGAGCGAGATGGATAAAATTTTCCAGAGCTGTATTTGTGATTTTGTGACTATTGTTAATATAGTGTGAATTGCAATATGAGATTTCTTTCTAAATTTTCGAATAAGAAACTAAATAAAACGAGGGAAGATATTGCTAATGTGATTTCAATTTATGCAGCTTGAAGCAGAGAATATGAAACAACTTATCGAATTAAAAAAAGTTTAAGAACGTGTAGTTCGTTCAACTGGGATCAAATGACAAACTGTCAAAAAATAACCAAATAGATAAGCACTGAAAATGACTCCCAAAAACAAAATTGGACGATTTTAACATTAATGTTTTACAAAGATATATTATTACCTATTATACAATATTTTGATATCATCGGTTGAATACATTAAGCAACAGTTCGACAAAAAATATAGTTAAACCATGGTGTTACACATGGTTAGTTAAACATGGTTACCCCAATTATTTTTCAGTTTTTTGTCTATCTGCATAAAAAAGGAGACAAACTGAAGTGTGACAACCATAGAGGTACAGCCTTACTAGACACAGTATACAAAATCTTGGTAAGAATATTGAGAAATAAACAAAATTGCTATACGGAAAGAATCCTACATGAGTATCAGGTTGGCTTTAGAAAGGACAGATCTACTTTAGACCAAATCTTCTCATTAAAGGAGATACAAACGACTTGTTATGAAGGTAAAGTTCCCCTGCATGTTTTGTTTGTGGATTTTAGACAAGCATATGATAGAGTCAAAATGTATCCAGCAATGGAACATTTGGGTATACCAAAGAAACTGATCCTGCTAGTTAAAATGACACTAAATAACTCTACGTGTGAAATTGCTTGAGAGGGTCACATATCAGATCTATTTACGGTTGCAAAAGGCTTGAGACAGGGAGATCCTTTATCCACTACATTATTCAACTTAGTGTTAGAAACTATAATCAGAAAATGCAATATGAAAGTGGAAGAAACGATCATGAAAAATGAGCACCAGTGCTTGGCATTTGCTGACGATCTAACGATCCTAGCAAAAACCGAGAAAGAATTCAGAAGACTTGTGAAGAAAATCATTGAAGAAGCACAGAAATTCGAATTGGAACTAAATGAAGACAAAACCAAATATATGATCATGGGAGGGACTGAAGGGAAAAAGAAGACTTTAGTGTGAGGTCTGTAAGTGGTAAAAGCTATAGTTTTAAAAGGGTGGACAAATTTGAATACGTGGGTGTAGTTTTCGATGAAAATGGAAAAGAGAAATAGGAGCTCGAAGCCAGAATAGCAAAAGGGAATAAAAAATTAGGTAGTTTAAGAGTTATACTGAACTCAAAATACGTTTGTAGACAAGGTAAACTCAGAATATATAAAACAGTAATTGGACCCACAGTAACATATGCCGGTGAGACATGGACATTAAATAAGAAGGAAGAGGATAATACTCTGGAAAGGTGGGAAAGGAAAATAGTGAGACGCATATTCGGAGGACGGAAGACAGAAGATGGTTGGGAGAGAAAAACCAACAATAAATTAATGGCTTTATACAAAGAACCTACCATTACTAAGTTCGTCAAGTTACAAAAAATCAGATGGTTGAGACATGTGGAAAGAATGACAGCAAACAGAATGCCTAAACTAGTAATAACCAGAAAACTAATCGGTCCCAAAAAAAGAGGTAGACCCAGAACGAGGTGGATTAGTATAGTGGAGGAAGACCTTAAACACATGAAGGTGAGGGACTGGAAAAGAAAAGCACAAAATAGAAGTGAACGGAGAAATATTGTCCACCAGGTCCTTCAAAGTAGTAAAGAATGTTGTATATACATATTTAAGTTAAAGTTTTGTTTAAAATAATTGTAATTAGTTAATATTAGGATTATGTTTTAAAAAACCTGTTGTGTTACCTTTTTAATTCAACTCAAGAATGATTTTTTTTTTAAATTTATTTACTAAATAGTGCTGTAAAATGGATATTAAACAGTTGCTTGTTGAAAGCTAGAAACTTGAAACAGAGCTGCTGTGGTCTGTCTGTCCAATGAAAAAGTTTTTGTAATTGTCGAGTGGTCTCAATCATGTGTGTGAAAAATGGAAGAATATGTGGATGGAAGTACTATCATTGCTTGTTAATTTAATTATGCACATAAATATATACGCATTAATTAATTAAATAACAACTTTCACTCGTGGAATAAAATAGAGAAAGAAAGTTACTAAAAGGCATACAACCCATCTAGACCTACATAAAAGTAATATTAAAACCACGGGATATGTAACTTTTTTGTAATTGTTTTGGCATAAAACAATCGTTTTACTTTCTTAAGTGTTCAATTTGATAAAGCAAGTCCTAAACTTCATTAATCCATGATAAAAATCATAAATAAAGCTAACATAACTTCAATCAAGTTCAATTTTCAAAATTTTGCCCCCTTATTTTTTTCCGCCGAAAAGTAGCACCCTCCAGCCTGATTTAATTCTGTCGTAATACGATCATATGGAATTCGACTTCTAGATTATTGTATTCTAAATTATCTGTAATTTAATTCGTATCTTTGCGCGCTGCTAGAAGCAGTTTCGTCTGCTTGCCGTGAGGGCACCGATTCCAAATAAAGAGTTGGATTCGCCGCGATTCAAAATTTAGAGGGAGGAGATAGTTTTATTGTAAGCTTATTTTATAACGATTTTAATCTAAATGTAGCAAACTGCAAAAAACAGTAAATAAATATAAATAAATAAAATAAATAACAATATAAAAGAAATATCAAAACCTACATAATCAAAAAGTGCTACACAACCATGCAACAAAAGCACATGCAGAACGACACAAACAACCCAAACAGAAATCTTACTTTTTTAAAGTCCAGAATCGAACATGACTGCAAAGTAGAAAATGAATTAGTAAAGCAAAGAAATGACAAATGTATGGGTTCTGAGATGACTAATAGTAGGTGCAAAATTACCTTTGAGATCTCCTTAGATTTCGGCGATAATTTGGAGAACAATCCTTTGGAACCGCTGGAGGATGGACTTTTTTTCGTGAAGAAATCCGTAATAAGTTTCGTAATACTTTTCCTTCGTTCTCGGTCTTTACACTTTTTCTTGTTTTTGCCCTCGTTCGTTTCTAATATGTTTGGATCGGATTTGTACACCTTTATTCTCTCCGGATCCAAACTGATCGTCTGGGTTGTTGTTATTTGTTGAGAGAAGTTGGGTATCGATTTGGCTCTTGAGGATAAAGAGCTCTGTTCTAAACTACTAAACGTAGGACATGCAGCCTCGTAATTTCCACTGACACATCTCCTAAAGGTTTGTTCTCTTTTTTGACTAGCAGAATCAGTCTTTTCTTTAATATGAACTAATTGTTCATTCTCTTTGTGTCTTAACCGTACGGTTTGTTTAAGTTTTTCTAGTTTCCTGTTCATTTCTTCGGCCGACCTGTGGTACCGTGGAGGTGCTTTTGGAGTATCATCCAGATTTGGACTAACGTAATTGTTGGAGTACGACGGTGTGGTTCTAACAGGTGTTGTGTTTGTTTCTGAATGTATAAACTTAACATTTACATCTTCTGAATTTTGTAATGGACATTTAGAAGATAAAAGGACGTCTGGAGTGGTGTAAGTACCGGAATGCCGTTGATTTGTAGTTTGAGCAACATTGCTTGGATGAGAAAGCGGAACATTTATTACTGTAGCAGATTTAGTTAATTCGAATGGAGATTTTGGCGATATACCTGCTTTATTTCGTTTGCGTTTCTCTAAAGATTTGTTCTCTGCTTTCATTTTGTTCATAACCATTTCCTGTATGAGTTTCTGATTGATATCTCTCTCTTTTTTGATGACGTCTTTGTTGTATAATATATCAGGCGTATGGGGAATGTGGGGGGTTAGGTTTAAGGAAATATTTTTAGGTGGAGTGACTGTATTTGCAGTTTCTTCGGTAATGAGATCCGGTTTCTGCAAGACATCTTGTTTACTCTTTTTTCTCGATTTGCGTATGTCTATAGAGTCTTTAACATTGGAAAATTCTATTTTGTTTTGTAATCTTTGACAATGTTCTTGAAATTCTAGATCTATCATTTTGTTTTGTTTTGATTCCTCTACTACATCATTTTTCAAATCACAGTTCTCGTTTTTATCTACAGTAATTGTTTCATTAACTAATGTCTTATCTACGGTAATATCACTAACATGTTTCACAGTTGAATCGGTTAATGTATTTTCCTCCGTTGTTGTTCCTGATTCTATTATTAACGTACTAACGTCTTCTTCGTGGTCTTGAACGTGCTTCGACGTTTCTAAATCTGACTGTTTTAACTGGGAATCCTTTTTTACAGTTTCCTCCTTAGGATATTGCAATACGTTAATATTCGTGGTCTCCACAATATCATTAATATTTGGATTTAAGCTATCCTCTGCAAAATCGTCCTCATCTTTAAGTAAAATATACCCATCTTGGCTATTGATGACTCCGTCATCACTGCTAGTTTCGGTTCCCGTATCCATAAACTCTATATTATCTAAATTAACATTTAAAACACTATTTACAGTTTCTGTTATCACATTATCTTTTCTAGATTTGGCTATGTAGCTAGAAGTTGAGTCGTCGAATTCTAGTAAATCCGCCATCTTGGCAGGTTTTCTGTCATTGTCCGGATACTTAATATGAATTTCGAATTCGCCGTCTTCAAAATCGTCCAGCATCGCCTCGTCGCGGGCCCAATCTGACAATTCTGTTTCGGTCAATGCTGTCGTAGGTTGTTCAGCCAATGATTCAGGCGAACTGAGACCACTGGAGATGACAATCGTTTCTGGAACTTCCCTTTCCCTCTCTTTGTGTATTTTATGTTTGATGTGCAAAGCGTTATGGATTTCCGGAAAGACGGTCTCTAAATTGGGTTAAAACTTTCGGTTGATTAAGAATTTTCTTCTCGCTGGAAATAGACTTTAAGGGCTCAATGGACGGACTCTCGATATCAGTTTTTATCTCATCATTGATACAGAGAAGGGAGTCTGGAACAAATTCGTCTTTGATTTCCTCGCCATCGTTAGTCGCATGGATCTGTACTTTTGGTATATTTTCAAAACGCTCCGACTTTTGTTCATTTTCATTGTCCGAAGAAGCTAAGCTATCCGAAGTTAAGCTGTCATTTTGTTTACTCCAATCTATTTGAGGGACAATTATAGATGTTTCGTGTAAGGGACTCCTTGGGCGGCCTTCTGATTCGTTTTCAAAAACTGCGGTTTCTATTTGTATATTCTTTTCGTCTACACCGTTTTCCTCGTGTTCATCTTCTTTCTGTTCCACCTCTTTAGTGAATATGATAGACGGTTGTGGCGATAAAACTGGAGATTTCAATTCGTTTAATTTTTTGCAGAACGTCTGCATACTCGCACTAATTTCTGGAGACGGTTTCAGCAACTTTTGACAATCTGAAATATTAGTATGAAAACTTTTAAATTTCGTGTCTAGAGTGGACACGCTGCCAGATTTCTGAATATTACCAGGACTGGCTTCACCTAAAAGATATTTCTTTTTAAGTTCAAGCGACACTTTTGCAGCTATACCCCCAGTGCTTTGTGTGCGATTCAAACTGTAACCCTGAGGGTGTGTTAATACAATTGGTGCTGGTTTTTTAACCGGAGGTGCAGAAGGTACTAGAGGTGTTAATTTCAAATCGATATTTGGTTTGCCGGTTTTGCCATCGAGAGGACTTTGTAGATAACGACTCGTCACCTGGATTTTCCTGCGGGGGTTGTAGCCAGATCTTTTAGCTTTATTAACGTACATATCGTTCAAAACTATCGACGGAATTTCTCTAGTAGGGGTGGGATCATCTTGGGCGAATTCAGAGTCTGTGGAAATTTCCGTTGCAGAATTTTGAATCTCGCTCGACGATTCGGAGCTACTCTCGTCTGTTACAATCTACAATTGAAATAAAGCACCGTTACACAACTGCAAATGATATGAATTAATGTAAAAATGTCGAAAAACAATACTGCAATACTGAAAGCTATGCAATGGCCAAAATAACCCCTTTTAATAGACAGAACATGTTTTGCAATGAATGACTTTACCCGTATAAAATAAATTGGTATGCATATATTAATTAATTGTTTATTTGTAGAAGGTTAACACAAGGTTGTAGCAAATATAGGCAATATTCGTACATATGTTGCTCAAATCTTCGTATAAGGACTATAGCAGAAAAAATAAGTTGGGTAGGTAATCTATACTGTTGATGAGAGAAGACAACCGAACTGAATTTAACTTCTCTATAGAAATTATTTATTAGAGTCGTTATCTAGAGCTTCTTTATTTAGTATCCATCATTATCTTGAGCTCCTGTCAATACAACCCATTATACCAAATATGGCAACCAACATGATATTCATCGATCGATAACGGTCATGGAACTATAAGAGGAATATAAATCATAATACATTAATTGAATCATGGAATATAAGAAAAAGCTTTTGAAGAAGATAAATTAAAACACTTCATTAAAGAATGCAGAAAATATAAAATATACTTACAAGACACAAACAGAACAAATTTAGAATTAGACGGCTTTTTATTATTTTATTGTGCAGGGAGAAAGCAAAATGTTGGGCAAAGTTTTGTGATAAATAAAAAATTAAAAAGTCTAGTTGTTGGTCGACAACCTATTAATGATAGAAACTGTATATTCAGAGTAAGAGAAAAATATCAAAACAAAATACATACAAAAAATAACTGCAGTATATGAGAATATACTCAGTTGCTATCTAGGGTCCATATAGAGAACACACCTCAGGGTTAGCCACCCCAATTGGGAGTCTTGCGTTGCCATGCAGTAAGTTTGTTTAAAACTTTAACATCGTGCGAATTTATCAACAAAGATGTACCAAATAACAAATTTAGTATCATTTAAAGGGTTTTTCCCATATATTTAGTGGCTTCACTCATGTACATCTGGTAACTGCACGGACGATGCATTTGTTAGTCTGAAAACGTTCTCTAATGTAGGATTTTTTAAATAAAATTTCAAAAACAAATTACTGAAATGCATTTTACACGTGAACGGACAAGTACAACAATAAGAAGAATGAGAAATACCGAAAAGAAATTACTGAAATGCATTTTATAAGAAGTTTAAGAAAAGTTCAAGAGAGACGTCGAGAAAAGACGAATATCGTGGCTAAAAAACTAAAAAAAAAACAACCAAGATTGCCAACATTCAGTAACCATAATTTCCATCAAGTAATTGCCATAAATAGTTTAAAATTGGGAGGTAAATGCTGAAATGTACACCTTAACATATGGAGTGAACATGCCAAATATTGCATCTCCAAATAAAGGGAGAATTAAAACTAACTAGTTTGATTTGAATTTAATACAGCCTTCTACTGCGGAATTTTGACATTCTGTTTATTTAGAAAGCCCGTAAGCTATAAGTGCCATATAAACAAAGAAGCGTGAAATCTGTTTTAATTACCTCGTTCTACAACAGCTCTAGAAGATCACTATTTATGGTAAAGAGTGTTTCCATAGATATCATATTCCTTATGCACGAAGGTAACATGAGATTATAAAATAAACATATTTAGCGGGTTTTAGAACAATGGTCCACCGCCAGTAATCTGTCCTTAGTGTCTTCTTACTGTATAAGCGTGAATGAGAGATCGGGTGAATGCCGTGCCGTTGTTGCGTCCCACTCAGGGCGATTTCGCCGGTAATTCACCACTGAGCAGGGTGTTTTTTTAGCAGGTAGGTCTCTGGCATTGACGGCTATGGTGGCCAAGCTGGAGGAGTCCTGCATAACCGAGGCTGGAAAGCAATTCTGCCCACCTTCTAGGATTGTGGTATGTTTCGAACATTGGGACCACCCCCCCCCATCATCATCATCATCATCATTCAGCCCATACTCGTCCACTGCTGAACATACGCCTCCCGTAGTTCACCCCACAAATTTCTGTCCTGAGCCGCCTGCATCCAATTTTGATGTGTCCGTTTCAGGTCATCCGTCCATCTTGTTGGTGGTCGTCCTCTATTCCTAAAGGCATCTTGTCTGGGTCTCCACTCAAGAATGCGTTTTGTCCATCTGCCGTCCTTCGTTCTCGCGACGTGCCATGCCCAGTTCCATTTTAAGGTTGATATTCTTTTGATTGCGTCGGTTACTCCCGATCTACGGCGCAATTCTGTGTTGGGTATTAGGTCTCTCAGGGTTAATCCCAACATGGACCGTTCCATTGCCCTCTGTGTTGTTCGAATTTTCTTTGCGGACGTCTTAGTAAGTGTTAGCGTCTCTGCACCATAGGTTAGAACCGACAGCACACATTGATCGAAGACTTTTCTCTTCAAGCAGATGGGAAGAGCTGATTGGAAAACATCTCTTAGCTTTCCATAAGCTGCCCATGTCAACCCTATTCTACGTATTAGTTCATTGGTCTGGTTATCTCTACTTAAGCGAATTTCGTGTCCCAGATATTTGTATGCTGATGTTTGTTCTATACTTGTTCCAGCTATGTTGATGTTCTCACTCAGAACAAGGTTTGTCATCACTTGTGTTTTTGAGTTATTGATCTTTAAACCCACTTGTGTAGAGGCATGGTAGAGTCTTTCGCACATTTCGATGGCATGATCTATGCGGTCTGTTATCAGGACTATATCGTCCGCGAACCTGAAGTGACTCTCTGCTGCTCTCCATTTATGTTTATGCCCTTTTCGTCTAGGTTTGCACGCTTACACATGTATTCCAATAATGTTGTAAACAGTTTTGGTGAAATGGTGTCGCCCTGGCGAACTCCACGATGAATGTTGAACTTGTGTGTATCTTCATGGAGTCTGACGCATGCCGTGGCATTATCATAGATATTTTTGATGACAGTGGTGTAGCGGTGATCTATTCGGCACTCCTTCAAAGCTTCCAGCATCTTCCGGTGGTTTACTGTGTCGAATGCCTTCTCATAATCCACAAATATTAGGACGAGGGGTTTATTGTACTCTATACATTTTTCGATGAGGCTTTTAATAACTTGTAGATGGTCGTTTGTGCCGAAGCCTGACCTGAATCCTGCCTGTTCGCAATATTGGTAAAAGTCAATTTTGTTCGAAAGTCTGTTTGTTATGACTTTTGTAAAAAGCTTGTATATGTGTGAGATGAGGCTGATTGGTCTATAGTTTACGAGATTTGTTAAATCTCCTTTCTTAAACATTAGAATGATCACTGCATTTTGCCATTGTGATGGTGTTGTTCCTCTTTCAAGGCATTCTGTGAAAAGTATGGAAAACATTTGTATCAGTTTCTCGCCCCCTAATTTTATGGCTTCGGCAACGACCCCGTCGTCGCCAGGTGACTTATTATTTTTCATTTGTAGGAGAGCTTTTTTGATTTCATCAACAGTAACATCTGGTATGTCTTCCGAGCCCTGGTTTAGAACCTTTGGTATGTTGTCAGTTGGAACATTTTCTTCTGTTTTGCTTAAAGTTCGCTGTAAAATTGTCCGACAGTTTGTAGGATTTCCTGTTTATCTGTTATTATTTCGCCCTTTATGCTTTTCAGTTTGTAAATATTTTTCTTTCCTATTTGCTGTTTCCTTCTGAAGACTTTTAAACTTTTGTTCTCTTCTACGACTTTTGAATAAAGAATAAGAAAAGAAAAACGCCCATTGAATTAGGGAACCGAAATTATTTTTTCATTGTGAACAAATATTTAAAGAGTTCAAGTACTCTTTGATCACCAGAATCGTGTTTTTTATATAACTGTGATATGACTTTAGTTATATGACAAAAGAGTATTCCATTTAAATATTTGTAATTTTTGTTTTTATTTATGATATGGAAACAAATCAGATGACGGTTTATTTAAAGTTCTATAAAAGTTTGTTTGGAAGACAAACCCTATGATAATATATTGATCTCCTTTAATGGCTATACACAATTTTTTAAAAGGATTGTTGATATTTGTAATTATTTCAAATCTTTTATTTTTGCATCTGCTTCAGTGTAACCTCCTACAAATAAAATGATTAAATATTAACATATTTCCACGGCCATATTTTGACAGCAAATTTCTAGTTTATATATTTGCTCTTTTTTCAAACTATATGGCATTATCCCATTAGAATTTGTAAAGCTAGAATTGTGGCTGAACTATGAATTGTACTAAAAACTGATAATTTTGTGATTTGTTAATGTGTTAAATATATACAATTTTTAGAATATATTTATAACGTTTTAATAATAGAGAACTGATGTACATATATTGTATGTGCCTCTCGTGTAGGACCGGGCGAGAATGAAAGCAAAAAATGACAGGTCATTAATCAATATAATGACAATATGGAAAATTTTCAAAATTTTGCTATCGTATAACAGACAACATTTTGGAAGAAATTGCTGTAGATACCTTCGTCAATGGGTTGAGAGACAGTGAACTACAGAAAGCTTTACGACTAGCAAGACCAAAAGTTTTGGATGAAGCGCTCGCCATTGCCTTGGAACACGAAACAGCTAGTCAAGCTTCACGGAGCTATCGAGTATGAACCTCTGAAGAGAGCGACGAACAAATCGATAAACGTTTGGAGAAAATCGTACAGAAAGTAGTTCGTAAGATGATGCCAAAGAGACGCGAACCCAGATGTTGGAATAATGGCGACGTAGATCACATTGTCGCATCTCCTGGTTAAACAATTTGAGAGCTTGATTTAACTGCACTTCTGCTGACCTCTTTAGAGCAGCGTATCGAAAGGGCGAATTGCCATGATGGTTGAGAAGAAAAAAGGTCACATTCGCCGTAAATTACAGGTATGTAATATAACAGTCAGAAAGCTAGAACAGATCGAACACTGGGATGGAAAAAGTCATTCAAATGATGATTCTCAGTCAAGACGGTCAAGCAGTGCAAATTGTAATCATCATCATCCAGCCGAATTTTCACATCC